TATTGAATCGACATGGAGATGCAACTCATGCCCAAGAAAAGGCAGAATGCTTTTGATGCTTTTTGATGCAGCTCTTCTCTGTCAGTAAGACTGGCATGCTCTGTGTGAAGGAGAACATCCCATATTGGAGGCAGCAGCGTATTTCACAGCGCAAGTTCCCATTCTGTACAGGGAGACAATGAGAACTCATCACACAGCAGAGGCAGCATGTGGCATGACACGAAAGAATGAACTAAAAAGCTGTGAGGTAACATGATTTCACTCCCGTTAAAGGCAGCTGCTTTGACATTCTTTCTACAAACTCAGGGCAACGAAAAAGAGACCCATACCAATCTGGAGCTTGCAACTGCACCCAGTCTTTTTAGAAGTACCAAGGTGAACACTCAGTAGAACAGCACTGATCTAAAACCTCAGCAGCTTCTGCCATGACGTAGGCAGAGGACCTTGCATCCAAAGGCAATGCCATTTTTCCTTCCAGAAAAATGAAGGACAAAGGAAGGATCAGTAAACATCTGAGAACTACTGGTGATGTTTCAGATTTATTTTTCACTGCCTGCTTATTTCACTCTGACACTGAAAACCTCATTTCTACAATGCCAAGTTTTACATTTCTTCATGTACATAAGCACAGGATAAAGCAACAATTAACTTAGAAGACCTCAAAGGTATGTGGAAAAGACACACAGATGCACTCATGGCACTTGTCTGGTGCAGAATCTAATACTTACTACTATAATGACTCCTGCATTAAGTACTGGCTTAGAAGGCTAGCTTCTTAAAAAATAGAACAATTGTTGACTCAAGGCCCACACAGGTGTAGAAGCAGTTACCTTCAACTTGCAGAACAATGGCCACATAAATAAACTCTTCAATGACCTCAGGCTATGGCCTGGAGTCCAGTGGAAAGAGGCTTAAAAAAATGCTATGCCGGAGTAAGGACCCAGCAAACACTATACTACATGGGAACTCACACCAGAGCCTACAAACAGATTTTGAACAGTGTGGAATCAAAAGACTAGTTTTACAAGGAGACTTGGGGATTATTTCCGAGTAAAAACTCTGCCTTAGGGTTAAAGAATAGCAGTACAGTTTGCCCCAAGCTCCACTTGTACAGGCTGGAAAAACCACCAATCCACAGGTCATTTATGAGGAAAGTTATGTGCACCAGAGCAAACTGCACTGGAGACTTCAAAAATGAAGGGGTATTGCCTCTGAGCAGTCAGACTTGTTTTGCAGAAATCCTGGGACTGAACAGAAACTCAGGGAAATGGTGCTGGTAGCAGAAGAAAAAAAAAAAGTGAGGTTGCCTGTCATAACCAGTATAACTGAAAGATCTAGAACTATTTAAAGAAAGTTTAGGGAGAGAGTTTCCAAGGAAAAATAGCTGCCCCAAAAGAGGATAAATGTGAATTTCCAGTGGGAAGTCTTTCATCTCTAAAGTACTGAGAAATTCAGCAGTTTGCAGCAGTGGTACACAGGCTAAACAAGCTTGTTATGTCTTCATCCATGGACAGAGAGGTTCCTATCAAAGCATAGCTCTGCCATGGCCAAGACAGAACTGTGATGTAATCTAAATGCAGCTTTGCAAAAGATGAATTAATTTCATTATACCTTGGGCCAATGTCTGGCAACTCAGAGAGCCAGCAAATGAAGGTATAAATCTTCCAAGACTTGGGCAAGAGAGACCAAAGAACAGTCAGGAACATGTCTGAAACTTACTGCAGAACCGCTAGGGAAAGTGTAAGAAAGAAATTCTCACTTCTCTTTTGTCAAATTGATCACCAGCAAATGGCGAGATAGTAATGAGCAATTTCCTGCCTGGGCTGGCCAAATGAAATAGAACTGCAAGGTACTGGTCTTCTACCAAGGGCCAGATGGAAAGGACTGGCATACAGTCAGCCCATTATCAGAACAGGTCAAATCCCATAGGAGCAGCCAGAAGGTGTTCAACTGCTCTGTCCACAGTGCTGCAGTACTTGGATGATGTTGTAAACCTCTCCAACACTAGGAAAGAAACATTGGTTCCTCCCTGAAGGTAAGATGATGAGACAAAGTTCCTGGTAGGCACAGAGACACTCAGATTACCTAAGAGGACAAGGTACTCTGTTCAAACAGTAATTGACCTAATTCTTTCATGCAGTTTGATGTCTTGCTGTGCACAGCTTTTCAGAGATAAGGCCTACAAGAGCCACTGCACACATATGCACAATGATTTTTTAATGACTTCACAAGAACACACAGTCTAATCCCTGCCAGGAGCAATGATACAAATTGCTGGCCTGAACAGGCCAAACTTAGGGTAAACATTACTAAATACTGTTCTGGGAAGTGAAGTTCTCAGGCCAAAGCTGCAGACTTGTTAGCTCAGGCTCACAGACCACTGGGGATGGGGGGGGGTCAAACAACTAAAATATGAAACTCAGATTTTAGCCATTTACCAATCATGAGCAACAGATTTAAATTTAAGTTTTCACCACGTAGCTTGGATACCATAGAATCACAGAATCATGGAATGGTTTGGATTGGAAAGGATTTTAAAACTCATCTTGTTATATTCCCTGCCATGGGCAGGTACGCCTTCCACTAGGCCAGGTTGCTTCAAAAAGCTCTGGCCAACCTGGCCTTGCATACTTTGAGGGATAGAGCAGCCACAGCTTCTCTGGGCACCCTGTGCCAGGGCGTCCCCATCCTCCCAGGAAGTTCTTCTCAGTGTCCCAATAACCCTGTCCTCTGGCAGTGGGAAGGCCTTCCTCCTTCTCCAAAGTCCCTCTCCAGCTCACTTGGAGCCCCCTCAAGTACTGACAGGCTGCAGTAAAGTCACCCTGGATGCTTCTCTTCCCCAGGCTGAATAATCGCAACTCTCATTGCCTTTTATTTTTTCTCTGATGAGTTAGATTTTATTGTTGGAAAATTATCAGACAAAATAAAGTGCTTCTTTTTTTTTTTAAACAAAATCTTTACCTTTTCCCTGTGGTTCCCTATAAATAAAGTATCAAATAATGTTTAGCCTTTTTAAATCTGCAATCTTACATGTTTCATTCTTGCTGGACATTCTTCAAGAAGAAATATGCCACAATAATTTCTGTACAGACTGAATTCCTTCAGATTTTGGATATTAACTTCAGATTCCTATTATCTAAGACACAGCAGACACAATCATGCTGTTTCAGTGTCCATTTCAGAAGGACAATTGGGGGTGTTTTTCCACCGGACAACTCAGGTGCTCAGACAAGTACTCCTGGCCTTCAGGGTTCCCGCGTTCAGGCTGCATTTTTGGGGAGCATGGTGCAAACAGGACAGAGGTAAGACAGCCCCTGAGCTCAATCCCTTCACATTTCAAGATGAACCAAAGGCACAGAATTGAAGCAAGAATATTTACGATTTTATCTATCCTTTACATTAATGTTTTTTGGGAAGTACAAGCACGTTCAGGAGCTTCTCTTCGGTGACTTCCCAGAGCCTTCACCGGCGCAGCAAGACCGGCACCCGCCGAAATCCGCGCGGAGCCTCCCTAATAGCTCAGCGGCGCGATCGTTCCATCCAGATGCGTCTCGGAGCCGCTTCCGACGTTAAGGGAGCGGCGGGCCTCACCCGCTCCAACCTGGCATCCAGCAGTCACCGCCAGCTGGTGCCCCCCCGCGCACGCTGCCGGTACCGCGGCGATCGGCGAGTTCGCGCAGGGCCGGACGGGGCTCCTGCTCCCGGGCCCGGCCCCACCACACCCGCTCCCCCGCCCTAGGAGGCCGCGGCGGCTGTTCCCGCGGCGCTGAAGCCCTCGGCTGCCGCCGAGACGGAGCCCGGGAGAAAATGGGGGTCCCGCCAAGGGTTTCAGAGGGTCCCGGAGCGGCCGCGCGCCCCGCACTCACCCACCTCCGCCGCTCCCTCCCGGCCGCGCGCGCCCATCACGCGGCGGCGCAGAGCCCACATTGGCCGCGCCGAGGCACTTACATCACGTGCCTCTTCTTGGCCAATGGGTGGCAGCCGCGTGTCTCCGCCCCGCGGGGGCAGTTGCGGCGCCGGGTGCGATCGCAGCGCGGCGGAGACAAAACGGGCCCGTGTCGGGCCGGCACGGCACGGCACGGCACAGCGCCGCCCCGCACCGCGAGGGGGCGGTGGGGCGCGGCGGGGCGCGGCGCGGCATAACGGAGTGCGGCGCAGTGCAGCGCCGGCTTTTCCTCCGGCGGGGGCCGTGACTTGCAGGGGGCGGGGAGGGCTCGAGGCGCGCGCGGCCGCCTGTGCATGCGGCACAGGCCCAGGCCCAATGGCGGCCACTGCCGCCATGTCCCTGGGCAATTACAGCAGCCTGAACCGGGCCCAGCTTACCTTCGAATACCTGCACACCAATTCGTGAGTACTGGCTGACTGGCTGGGGTGGAGCGGGCCTTCACCGGTAGGGTGCGATGGGCCTGGCCGAAGCCACGCGGGCCGGTGGGGCTGAGCGGCCCCTGGCCTCGGCGCCTCGTGGTCCCTCCAGGGCCCAGCTGGTTCACCGCGAGTAAGTCGCCAGGTCACGGAGAGTCAGTGCATGAGGACGAGAGGCCCCGGGAGGAACGGGAAGGCCCTTTGGGCAGCCAAACCCGCACGGCCGGACCTCTGCAGAGCAGCGTGTGCACTGCCATGCCAGCCACCTGCATCTGCAGCCATATGCAGCATCTGGCTTTGTGTGTGACTGAGTGTTTTGCAGGTTTATTTTTAACGAGATTATGATACTCTTTTTCCAGTCAGATTTTTGCATGTCGCCAGTGAACCCCCCAAAATAACACCTCTTGAGAAGAGGCAAAGCCATTATTTGAAATGAATTTCTTCTGAGCGTATGTCTAGAAAATGAGGAGCACCATCAGGAAGCAGCGCTTAGCGGGATCAGGCACCCATTAACACCTGCTTACTGCTTCTAAGCCTTGTAATACTTTGTATAGAGGAGATGAAAGAGTGTGTTCTGCCCAAACTGGAAGAACTCTGTGGAACCACTTGCCATTGCTTCATTTTGATCAGCTGATCGTCTGCTGATATTTTATGGAAGAATTGACTTACTGTTATCCATCAATAGAAGAACAAATCAAGTGCAGGTTTATATTTTTGTTTCCCTTTTCAACATGTGAAGGATCACAGTGGTCTGCAGCAGTCAGAAGATGGCACAGAAATACAGGCAACTTGGTTTCAAAGTATTTTTGTCTGGTTCTGTTGGTAATGAGATACATCTGCAAGAAGAGTTAAGACTAATCTCACTTACCTATGCCAAGACCATTGCAATCTATTTATTTTCAGAATCAGGAAAGTTATAGGCTTTGAACAGGGGATTAAACCTAATAATGGCTCCTTGTCAAATTTGGGTCTGCTCCCTAGCTTGACTGGTGGCAGTTGCACATAGACTGAACAGTCTGGTGCCTGAAGATGGACAATACTGAGTCATGTTGTGGTGCAGTTGTTGATTTGTGAAATTCTTATGTCCAGCTCCAGAAGACAATCTTGTTTTATAGATTAGAAGACTGTGCAGATGATGGCAGTGCTCTGTGAGCACGTTGTGTTTGCCTGCAAATCTCCAGAACTCTGTCCATCTTCATAAGAAGATAAAGCCTGTGCTGTAGAAAAAACTGAGTTGTTGCTGCTGCTCTCAAGTATATTTAAGCTACTTCATGTTGCCATTGTGCTTATGCTGCTGTCTGCTTGTGGTGTGCTGCATGTCTACAGTGATACCTGCATTACGGAATTCTTGGGAGGAGCTGGAAGTTAATGCTTGGATAAGCCAAAGCCAGAGCTTCTTGTCCATTGTGAGCAAAGAGCCTTTTGAGGTTATGGGAATCAGTGCATAAGTCAAATGCTTCCCTAAGAATGGCAATGGGAGTAATGGAAGTCATAATAACAAAGAAAGCGCCAAACTAACCTGTTACAAATAACCTCTCCTGCTCCTCTAGTAAAAAAAAAAGAGAAAAAAATAAAAAGAGCCAATCCCCAAATCAACCCGAGGCCAGCATAAGGATTTTGATAAAGGAGACTTTTGGACTGTTCTCTCTTGCTGAGGAAGACCATCCTATCATAGATAAATTCTAGTTTAATGCAAAGTGTGTTCTCATAGTCAAGGAAGTGGAAATTCTTTAAATTGCAGTGAAAGACCAACCATCTGGCTGTTAGGATGCAGAAGAAAACCATACCTTTTTTTTTTCTTTCTTTTTTTTTTTAAGACCTTTCAGAAAAGTTTCTGTATGTCTAACTCAGAGCGCTTGATCTGAAGTGCTTTATGGGAGACAGTCCCTGAGCTTGAGGATCTGCAGCAGATCTTTCCAATAGTGGCTTACTGCTTACGTGTCTGATGGCACATAGAGTTGAGCCTTCAGGATCTACACGAGTTGATTCAGCTGCTATATTTTTTTAAAAGTAAAAATATCACCATGCTTTTCAAAGTTCTTTACTTGATGAATAGTGAGTGGAGACAGACTTTTTAGTAAGTTCTGTAGTGATGGTAATGGTAAAGGCTTTAACCTAAGAGTGTATATTCAAGCTAGATAGAAGGAAGACATTCTTCCTTGTGAGGGTGGGAAGACCCTGGCACAGGTTGCCCAGAGAAGCTGTGGCTGCCCCATCCCTCAAAGTGTCCAAGGCCAGGTTGAATGGGGCTTGGAGCAGCTTGACCTAGTGGAAGGTGTTTCTGCCCATGGCTGGAGGTTGGACTAGATGACCTTTAAAGGTCTTTTTCAACCTTTAATGTTTCTATGTTAAAGTTCTTTTAGATCCTAGAATGAAAATCGATGTGCATGAGCATGTGAAAAATTACATGTGCATTGTTTTATGGCTTTCCAGTCACCTGCTGGTTTTCCTTAACAATTAAATGCTGTTACATTAAGATACTTCCAAAGCTACTCATTGAGATGATGCAAAAAATATGAGAGACCAGTCAATCAGTATTTGCATATTTTGAATATTTATAATAAAAAATTGAAGGAGTTTGTTAAAAGTTGAGGACCTGAAGTTGTCTTCTAGCAGTAGGTAGCCTTTAGCTTGTAACTTGCGTGTTATTGTGTAACTAGAATTGTCCTGGTGAATACAGTCGAAATGGAAGAAGGTCACTCAAATAGACTTCAGGATGACTAAATGATGGACTTGAGGAAAGTTAGTAATAACAGACCAGCATTATCTCCTTACCCCCTAAATTACCTCTTCTGCTTTTTGTCTGTTTTGGCCTGAAACAGAGTGCATTACTTAGAGAATGGCTGTTGTTCCTGATGCATGTGCCAAAATAAAACATTTTCCCAGATATGCCCTCCTTCAGAGCAAAAGTGGTCTTAAGTGTCTCATTAGCTATTAGGTGCTTGTCTACAGGGTCTGGAGTCCTACTAGGTTCAAGCAGGAGGTTCCTGTAGGAACTGCTTACAAAAGAAGCTTTTCTTCCCTTCGGACATTACTCAGAATGATTCTTTGTAGAGGTGTTTGAAGTTAGTCATATGTAAGAGCCGTCTAATTTGACCTTTTGTCATCTGTGTTTCAATAAATTGCCAATGTTGGACTCCTTTGTTCTATTCCTTGTCAAGCCTCCAGTTCTGCATGGAGCTGGCTCAATTGAAAGATGCACATTGTGAGATGGTCCAGGCTAGTATTTGTCTACCCAGATGAGCTGTTGTTGACACTATGGATTTTCATAATACTTTCCTCCTTTCTATATGTTGTTTCGCCCATTGTATGGCAGTAATAGTTGTAGAAAGGGTGATAAACTATTGGAATGGTTTGCCCGGGTAGGTGGTGGAGTCACCATCTTTGGATGTATTTAAAAAAAGACTGGATGTAGCACTCAGTGCCATGGTGTAGTTGAGGTGTTGGGTTGGGTTTGACTTGGTGATCTTGGAGATCTCTTCCAACCTTGTGATTCTGTGTGTGTGTGATTCTATGTGTGATTTGAATGCTCTGATGCAGGTTGTTGTTGCCTCTGATGATGCCTATCTAAAATAAGCTCACAATGTTTGCAGGTTACTTGCAAGCTCTGATAGACTTCATTTTGCCAACAGCTTGTCTTGTTTTTTTAAAGTCATGTTGCAAGTAAAATAATCTCAAACTTTTTTGGGGAGATGTGAGAGATGGTCACATCCATCATGATCAACCAGTGAAGTATTTCAGGCACTTTTGACTGTAAGGCAAGACCATGGAGTTTGTTTGAGATTAGCCGATTAAATCAGGCCGAAGCACTTTGTGTGACTTTAGTTAGATATTGATGACTGTGTTCAAACTCATAAATTGAATAGAAGACTTCTACAGCGTATATTCATTTCTGTTAGTGCTTAATAGCTGGAATGAATTTCATTGACTTGTGGCAAGGTTTCCCTTTGCTTGTGTCAGCACAAGAGGTTGTTGTTTTGGGAGATGGTCCAGATCAGTACAGTGTCAGGCCATGTGGAGATGTTTTGTTTTGTCTTTCTTATCATCTATAGCTGTGTTATCAGTTGTTTTGTTCCAGCATCTTTCTTTGGAAATCCTTATTTGTATTTTATTTGCATATTTTCTTTGAAGTATTCCTAAAATTGTGGAGTAAAAGGTGCTCATGAAGCATAATTACTAGTGGTAAAGCATCCATTTGCTTGTGGATTACTTCCTAAATAAGGAAGTATGTGATGTTGACCTGTTATGTTGACCTGTGGAGCTGAATAGACTCTTGTAAACGCAAGAGAAAACATGAAAGCTGTAATCATTTTAAGTATCTGTTCACTCACCTCCCCAGTGGGATGGGGAGGTGAATTGTACAAAGCTATGACCCACGGGCTGAGATAAGAGCAGTTCAAAAATTGGAGTGAACAAACAGGATAATAATAGGAAAAAGAGTGAGAGGAATAAACCCCAAGAGTCAGTTGATGCTCAATACAATTGCTCAGCGCCCACTGACCCATGGCCAGCCTGTCCCCCAGCAGCGATTGGCCTCTCTTGGCCAGCTGCCTTGGTTTGTAGACTGAGCAGAACATTCTGTGGTATGAAATATTCCTCTGGCTGATTTGGGTCAGCTCTCCTGGCCATGCTCCCCTCCAGCTTATTGTATAGCTGTATAGCGTGGGACACTGAAAAGTCCTTGACTTAAGGTATGCATGGCTTTGCACTAGACATAGGTGTGTTATCAACATTATTCTCACACTAAATACAAAACACAACTCTGTAACACCTACTGAGAAGAAAATTAACTCTATCCCTGCCAAAATCAGATCAGCAGGAAATCCTGTTCAAAGGAGGGAATGCCAAGATTCTGTCTCTATGGAAGCTTTCTGATTAGGTAGATACTCTTCCAAACACCGTTCCCATTGGTCTTGTCTCTGCAGGAGAGTGGAGATATGGAAATCTCTGTTCCCATGATTTTAGTGATAACTATGAAGGCTGATGTGTTTTCCTCTGACTGGAGCTGTGTTGATGGGTTCAGTGTGATCACCTTGAAGATGGATATGAAAGCTTGTTTTGTGGTTATTAATAGTGTGGACAGCTGTATATTTTGTGTGGGAAGTACTTATGTGTCTGTTCTTGGAACGCTGAAAATATGAACAGATATCTTCTCTTTGGTCACCTGTTGGCTGTATGTGAGGGTTTTGTGCAAACTGAAACATGTTGATAAAACTAATTTCTGAGGTCTTGATCTCTTCATTGAACAGCCTAGAGGAGCAGCAGATCCCATCAACTATTTCTTCACATCTTTGCTGTTAACATGGTGGATGTGGCTCATCTATGTTTGAAACAATTGTTAGATTTTGAGGTTAGGTTGCCAGTTTGGGCATGAAGTGGAGATACATTGTTTGTCAATATAAATGCTGTATTATAAGGATTGTTATTAGCTGCATAAGTTTTCCTCACCATCTATATTCTTTTGATGTTGAGGCATATAACTAATGGCTTTGAATTGGGAGCTGCTTATAAGAGGTAGCAGTTAAGAGGCTGGAAACTAAACGTGTCTCTTGAGATTGTGCTGAACTGGTAGCTGGGTTCATGATTTTAGCGTTAAGTTGGGAAGTATGGCGTGATACAGTGGTGTCAGAAGAGACTTTCTCTGGATTAGTTGCAGTTGCATCTGCTGGACGTTAGTCAGGATCTTGAAGTTTTTTTCTGTCACAAGTAACTTTTGCAGTTGGAATGTGTGCATGGGGGAGACTCACCTTGCTCATAATGTTGTGCATGTCTTGTTGCCCAGAGCAGCTGTGGCTACCACATCCCCAGAAGTGTTCAAGGCCGGGTTGGATAGGGCTTGGAGCAAGGTGTCCTTACCCATGGCAGGAGGATTGGAATGAAAGGAGCTTTAAGGTCCTTTTCAACTCAAACTGTTCTATGGTTCTATGATAATCCTAATCTGGCCATATTTATTTATATTTAGTTGCCATGAAAAGACCTATCAGTGTGCTGAATAAGGATTTCCATGATCTGTTGACTGGGTCATAGGCTGGTTCATGGGATCATCATGTTCTCTATCATGTCTGTGTAGCTGCAATATGTTTTAGACCATAGTGAGCTGCAGTTTGGGGCAGACTGGCTGCTGCCTGGACCTAGTCTGCTGTCAGCTAGACCATAGTGTTTTACCCATTTGACTGGATTTGTGTAAAGTGTAGTTGAAATTCTCATTTATTTAAAGGTCTTTCATTTTTTAAGTGTTGGTGTGATTCTGCTGACTTCTGTGTTTCATTGCAGAACTACCCATGAGTTCTTGTTTGGTGCCCTTGCTGAACTTGTAGATAATGCCAGGTATGTACCTGAGACCACCTAATTCTCAAGGTAAATTTGGTTAAAGTTTAATTCACCTATATATTAGTTGATCTTAAGCAATTTTCACTTCTAGTAGACTTTACAAGAAAATAGAAGACATTACTGCAATTTAGTATGAATATTTCACTTGCTCCTCTTGCATTGCCACATCAAACCCCTAAAAAAATGATTCCTGGAAAGACGTATTTGAATGAATCCTGGAAGAACTCATATTGGAAAGGAAATTGATGGCAGACAGAAGATAGATTTAAAGAAAAAAAACTAGTCCGCCTTTTTGTGTAAAGAAATAGCTAAAATAAATATTACAGGAGCTGTGACTCTTGTGATAGCTAAAAAATCATAGTATCAAACATGACAATGAATATCGAATCAGAAGTGAGATGCTGAAAAATAGAGCAATAACAGCTAAAGGAATTTTGACACTTGAGGAGATATGGTCTTTGGAAATTGCAGGTGTTGGGTCGCCTGTCTTCACACGTGTGTGGGGAGTCCTGCTATAGCAGCCTCCCAAGCCTTGCGTGCTTTTCTCTTGAGCTGCAGGAAATACTGTCATGAAGCACTATGGAAATATTTTGGAATTGTTTTCTCTCAAATGTGATTTGTCACAGTGTACATTTTGTGATGTAAGGAGCTCAAACTGGGGCATTTCTGAACTGGAAAGCTTCTGTGTAGGGAATCAGCTGTGTATGGTGTCTGTGTGTATGTCTGTGTGTGTGTGTGCACCCGCGGGAACTGGTGCTGTGTTCAGGGTTGCTACAAGGTAATAAAAAGTAGGGTCTTTGGGGGTGGTTTTTCCCTTTACCTTTTGGTTCCCCTCTGGCTATAGAGAGGTTGACTTCTGGGAAGAAGGTAGCTGGGCTGGGCTGGAGGTACAAAATTGAAACGAAATGGCTGTGGCATTTGTCAAGCGGGGTTTTGTTACAGCACTGCAGCTCCACACCTCTAGTCAGTAAACCAAGGTTAGTTTGAGAAGAGGGCAGTAGTGCCGTACATGCTGTACCTTCAAATACAGCGGAGGATGCAGTGTGTGAAGGGGCCTCATTTCAGTGATCTTGTAATGACGGTTTCTTGTAACGATCTTGCATGTATTGGGATGAAGCTTTATGTGGAGTTACTAAACCTTTTGTACGCAACTCAACAGAAAAACTATGGGCATTGCTTTGTGCAGGAGGGAGCTGAGAAGTGTGTACTCATTTGGTTCCCAGTCCCAAAATTACTTTTGTTAGAATGCCAGTGGTACTTCCTGTCACCAGAACTGTTCATGTGCCAGCAATGTCTTATGCTGGAGTATAGGTTCAAATAGACAAAAAGTAAGACAATGTTTTCTGTCAGTGATGGCTGTGAGGCCTCTGTGGACTTTGATCTGTGCAGCCAGTTATTTTGGAAATGATTGTATATGCCTGGATTTTTAGCTTAATTTCTAACACTTGAATAATAATTGTGGTTTTATTTCTTTGTAGAGATGCAGATGCCACGAGAATAGACATTTATACTGGTAAGTCACTCCTGCTGCTTCCTAGCATGTCAGCAGTTAAGTCAGTAGTTAACTTGGATTTAGGTTGCAAATGTATGTTGTCCTTGATAAAATAAGAGTGATGGTGCTTATGCCCAATCCTGGTGTCAGTACTGGGCCTCTCCAGACAAGGAAGACATTGAGGGGCTGGAGCGTGTCCAGAGAAGGGCAAGGGCACTGAAGAAGGGTCTGAAGCACAAGTCTGATGAGATGTGGCTAAGGAAGCTGTGGGGCTCAGCTTGGAGAAAAGGAGGCTTGGGGGGGCCTTCTTGCTCTGACAATTCCCTGACAGAAGATTGCGGTCACGTGGGGGTTGGGCTCTTCTCCCGGGTAGCAAGTGACAGGAACAAGAGAAAACAGCCTCATGTTGTGCCAGGAGAAGTTTAGATTGGATATTAGGGAAAAATTCTTCACTGGAAGTGTAGTCAGACACTGGAACAGGCTGCCCAGGGCAGTGGGGGAGTCACTATCTACACAAATTTAAAAAATGTGTACATCTGGTGTTTAGGGACATGGTTTAATGAACTCAACTGTGTTATGTTTGTGGTTGGACTTGATGATCTTGAGGATTGTTTCCTGTAAGAGTGTCCAAGGCTTTACAGGGCTTTACTGTACCACTGTTAGTGGTTTGTCTCAGTCTCATGTGTTTCTGTTTGGGTCCAGGATTACTAGAAAGGCAGTCGAGCCAGGTTCTCATTTTCGGACTTCAATGTTTATTATATCTCACCAAAATTTATAGAAAGCATAGCAGCACTTCTAGCTCCCTGCTAGAAGCAGGAAAAATGGCTCCAAGCTGAGCCTGTTCCAAGGCCTTTTAAAGCTAAATAGACCAATAAGAGTTAAACACCTATATTATTTATACTTTTAACCCAATAATAGATTCCCATGACCCTTAGAGTGACTTTCAACTGACCAATCTAAAGGTAACTACCTAATTTCCGTGAAGAAGGAAGAGAAGATGAACAAGAAGAAAGACACCACCCAAAATTCTCCATCTTGTCCCCTAACTACCAGTATACATAAAAACCTCAAATTTAAAACCCATCACCCAGTGAAAATACACACATCTAACCTACTACACATTTGTGATCTCTAACTCATTTTTTGTATTTGCAAATCTTCTCCAAGGTTTCAAGTCCAGGGCAGTGTTTTCCAGGTTGCCTGTGCCAAGAAGCACAGAAAACTCAAAAACTCCGTATTTCTGAGATCCAACAGTTTCCAACCTGAATAATTCTATTGTTCTACCATTTCTCTGTGCCATATTGCCTGTTGTCTTTACAAATACCTTGGGGAAGCAATTAACCCTTCACGTGGGGTCAAGTGAAGTGAGTTGCTGTTTGTAATGGATGCCAAAAAACTCCACTGACACAATACAGTTTTGTAGCGCAGAAGTGAAGAAGTTCTTAGTCATTCTGTAACAAAAGTCTGGTGCTCTTTCTTACAGCTTAGCCATATTGAAAGTCCCATTTGTTGTGTTAGTTCTGTTGTTAACACCAATTGATCCTGTTTTATGGAATTTTTAACTTCTGCGTATGGGAGCAGTGAATAACTCTTCTGTTGCAGAGCGACGAGAGGACCTACGAGGTGGATTCATGCTATGTTTTTTGGATGATGGAACAGGAATGGATTCAAGTAAGTGACAGAAAGTTAACACTTGCATTTGCAAGCTGGGGTTTCATATTATGGTTTACGTTGAATTAACAACTTAGTTCCATTAAAAAGGGAACGTGTTCCATGCCTGTATACATGTTCCTGCCTCTCCACTGGCTCTTTCACACTGTATTACATATCAAACCATTTACCTCTTCCACAGCAGAAAACTAATCTGGTCAAAAGAAAATTGTTTTGCTGCATTATAGAGTTGGGTCAGATGGGCCTGAAGTTTCCCAGTACAATAAAGATGACCTTGGGACTGAAGGGAGAATAGTGGAGCAAGAAGGGGAACAAGTGCAAGGTTTGATGGCATAACCCTTTTCCTCATCTGTCTGCCAGGTGATCAGTGTATCAGCTCTAACCAGAAGATGTGCCATGACAGAAATTAAAGGCTCTGCTTTGAAAACAGTTTACCATTGTTTCATCTTGGACATTATGTCTGAGATCAATAGTGGACAATATAAAATCTTAGTAATATGCGAAGAATATAACAAATGTATTTCTGCCTTGTAAATATTGATGTAAATTGGTGTTGTATCTAGCAGGAGAAAGCGAAAAGTTTTTCTGCTTTATATTTAGCATCAATGAGCAGCACTGTCAACCCACCTTTGAGTCTTGAGGACTGATAAATGATCCTGTGAGGAGCTCTTTACAGGGCAGAAAAATAGTGTGAAATTGGGAGGTGAATTTGGAGAAGACAAAGGAAATGGATAAATAAGCAGCAACTAATATTTTTGCACTGATTTCTCAGTACTTTAAGTTCCTCTTGTGATATTTTCATAGTTTAATCCTAGCTGGCAACTCAACCCCACACAGCTGCTTAGTTCTTTTCCACTGGAATGGTGGAGAGAATCAGAAGGGTAAAAAGTGAGAAAATCTCATGGCTTGAGATAAAGACAGTTCAGTAGGGAAAACAAAAGCCATGCACACAAGCACAGCAAACCAAGGGATTCATTACCCACTTCCTATGGGCAGGCAAGTGTTTGGCCATACCCAGGACAACAGGCCTCCATAATGTGAAACAGTGACTTGAGAAGGCAAATGCTATAAGGCCTCTTCCTCCTACTTCCCCAGCTTTATCTGGGGAGCACTACACCAAGTTGCATGAGGCTTGGAGCAACCTGGTCTAGTGGAAGGCATCCCTGCCCACAGTAGGAGATGGAACGATATGGCCTCTTCTAATCCAGACCATTTTGGGATTTTATGATACTGTCTGGAATCCCTTGGGTCAGTTGGGATCAGCTGTCCCACACTTGTCCCCTCCCAGCTCATTGTGCTGCCCGCTTGCTGGTGGTACAGTTTGAGGAGCAGAAAAGACCTTGATGCTGTGTAAGCTGTGCTCAGTGCTAATGAAAATACCCCTGTATTAGCAACACTCTTCTCTAAAACACAGTCCCATGCAAGTTAGCATGGAGAGATTGAACTCTATCCCAGCCTAACCCAGACAGATAAAAAGCATTTAGTTCATTTTAATTTGTTTTGATACACAGATTTGTGACTTCCGTAAGGGAATTGGTTTGAACTCTAGGTACCTTCTGTATATTCTTTGGAATACGATTAAGGGTGCTAAACAGGTCTCCCAAGAGTACTTTTATGCCTCCAGTGTAGCTGAAGGAAAAAATAAAGCCCCATCCATAAAAAAAAGCTCTTGAGTTTGAAGTGTGGCCTTCTCATAATCCTTAGGATCAGGGAGAGGACGTATACTTCTCTGCTGTGTTGAAAACTGTGTGTTTCTCTGGAAGGTGCCAGACTTGTGTTCTAATGCCACAGAATTTCATGGAAGCTTTTATAGTGTTATTGCTTCTGTATTGCTGTTTTTGTGACAAAATGGGATTTAAGTATTGGCTATTTTCTTGGTTTAAGACAATTAAAGGGGGGGATGCTCTGAAATGAGTTTCATCCCCTTAATTTTAACAAATTCCTTTCCACAGGAAATAAATATGTGTAAATATAACTGAAAAAATAAGAGTTTACTAACAAAGCAGAACAGCAACAGGCACAAAATAACAGTAAATAATCACTAGATACAAAATTGCTAAATCTCACAGACTCCTCGGGAACAAAGAGAAACTCAAAATGCCAGTGACCCCTTTCCCCAGGTTGATGTTTGCCATGGGCAACTGCGTGTGGGGAGACAAGGGGAAAATGGTGGCAGTTCTCTCTCTCTGGTGGCAGCAGCTCCATTGGTGTATGTGGCTGACACATTCCAGTGGCTGGTACTTGGTCAAGGACTGGAACCTGTGGAAGGACTTGACCTTCCTCTTGGTGGAGGATGGCAAAGCAGCCAGCTAAGGTGTCTCAGACTCTGTGTCTTCTCGCATTGGCCAGGTGCTGCTCTTGGCTGCAGCAACTGCAGGGAGTGGGGCCTTCTCACTCCTCTCTTCACTCCTCTCACCACCATGCTACAACTGCAGACAGATGTTGCAAAATTCACTCTGAAACAGTTTCTGATTGTGAAATGAATCTCCTCATTTTGTAGCAACAGTTGCTACTGTTGTGAGCACAGAAAATCTGCCTGAAACAACCCCCTCTGGAGGTCAGAAAGAAACAGAGGAAAAAAAATCCCAAAGCAGAGCCTCTGCCTTGAGCAAAAGCTGTGATGGGAGAGAGGAAGCTCTGAGTGCCTCGACTTTAAAGAGCTTGACACTCGCCTGCCCCCACCCCCAACCCTGTGGTTCTGATTCTGGCCACACTGCCAGGTCTTAAAGAGACTATCAGTTTTGGACACAGATGGTTATGGAATACCATAATACTTGGGTTACCCAGGACAGCTATTAAGTGGCTTCTTTTTGACTAATCTTTCGGCTAAATGTTGAAGAATTTTATCCTGATAGCCTGAAACACTCAGTAAAGATGATGGGCAGATACTGTGCATTGCAGGGGTATTTCATATCACTCTGCGTTTTATATGGCAAATACCATGTAATTCATTTCCTTTTACTGTCTTGATGCTTGAACAAGGGCAGCCAGATAGCAGCTCTGTGTGCTGCACCATTTTACTGTCAGCATGGACAGAAGCAGCTAAGGAGAGTCTTTCATTCAAGGTCCCTGTATGGGACTCTGGTTCCATCCCTGGTTGTAGGGATCTGAGCTTTAATTTCTTGTAATGCGGGGTCTATCAGCTTTAAAGGTATCCTGAAGATCTCCTATCTGACTTTGAGATATCAGCAGAAAATCTTTATTGGACTTTTCTTCTTTTGAAAGAAATCATGTGTCTTGGGAGTGTTTTATTTCTGTGCATGATAACTTTTATTAAAAATTGTTTTTATTGTACATACAGTTGACATGTTAAAAAGAATACCTCCATGGCTTGCTATAGTACTGTTGGAGCCCAAGTCAACTGAAAGGATTGTAAGGCTGGATGAGGCACTGTAGGGACACATATTGAGAAAGTAAGAAAATTACAGCCTAAAAAATATTCCAGGCTGGAGCTTCTCAGCTCTGTGCCCAGCCGATAAGCTGGTCCAGCTCAAGGCTAGGGAGAATTTCTCCCAGGGTGATAATTTGATCAAAATAAAAAGGAATTAATAACAAAGATAGAACACCTGTTGTGGTGTGTGACCAGGCCCTGGGAACGGGGTGTCCTCTCTGAACCAATCACCTCTTCTCTACTCTTGGAGTTGCGAGTCATGCTATAAAACTAAGTGTGTTTCTGAATAAACTTGTCTCTTTCTTCCTGTCATGAAAGATGACCATGTAGCTGTGCATCTTATTTCCGCTGCACTTAAAGGGTTAAAACCCCTTTCCATGGCTACAAGGCACCATCTAGGGATGACGAGTGAATAAACCCAATTGTGTCTGGGCACTTCTAAACGGAGGGGAGAGCTGAAGGGCTCAAGTTAACTGTTCCTTTAACACATTGTGTATATGACTCTGTCTTGTTTGCTGTTCTCTGTGGTCTTGTTCTGTCTTGAACAATTCTAGATTTGTCTGGCAGGCTCTGAAACCAGAAGGGTATAGTAAGGCAGTTGGTCAGATTTGAGTGCTTTGTCTGATGGCTTCTGATAAGCAGGCGAAATGACAACTCCTCATTTCTAAAAATTAGGGATGTTTGTCAAGTGATTCCTGCTGCAGTTGCATTCATTACTCACTGCATTGGCTCTCTTAAAGATCACTCTGGGTTCTGTGGTCTCAAGATCAAAATGCATTTGTACTCAAGCTGCAAACATCTCATACTGTAGTATGAGTTACCATAAGGTTCAAGGATTCAATGATGTCACAGGACAGCTCTTTTGAAAAGAACCATCATGTCCTGCAGAGAGATATGAGAATCATAGAATCTTCTGAGTTGGAAAGGACCCACAAGGATCATGGAGTCTGGCTCCTTGCCCTGCACAGGACACTCTAGAATTCCACCCTGTGCCTGAGCGTTGTCCAAATGCTCCTGAAGCTGTGTCAGGCTTGAGACCATGACCACTACCCTGGGGAGCCTGTTCCAATGCCTGACCACCCCATTGGTAAAGAACCTTTTCCTAGTTTCCAATATTAGAAAATACATTGTTATCTAATAAATACCCTCTTCCCCTAACACAGAGGATAGTAATACTGGCCCAAAAGTTTGGCTTTTTTGTAAGGAACTAGATAGGAGTCCATAGAAAACCAAAAAATGGATCTCATGCAGCACATAAGAGTTCTCATACTATCAATGAAATCACTACTCAGGATTGAAATTTTACCTCATGCCTGGCTCTGAAAGTGCTACATGAATTTAATGAATCAAATTGCAGGTTGAATGATTCAGTGAATCAACTTGTAGGTTGAGAAGGTATAACAACTAGTTTAGGAAGTGGCTGTAGTTTTATTCTTAAGCAATTGAAGAAAATAAGTCTCTACCTGGCATTTTCATCATAGAAGTGCTCAGGATTGAAAGTACCTCAAAGATCATTTGTTCCAGCCTTTCACGGGAAAGGGAAGAGATGATTTAGCACCCTGTTTCTCCAGTGCTGAGGATTCCACCACATACCTGAGGACGTTGTTCTAGTGATTGATTAAATGACTGATTGATCTCTAAAAAATTTCTTACTTATTTTAAGAAGAAACCTCTCCCAGTGCAACTTCTATCTATTGCCTCTTTTTCATGTGGCTTCTAGGAAGGGAGGGCCTCCATCCTCTTGTAGATCCTTCAAGTACTGTAATACTATGATGAGGTCCCCCAGGCCTTCTCAAGGAAGGAGACCAAGTTCTCCTCATACACAGATTCTGCAGCTCTCTGATCATTTCCTTTGCATCCTGGTCAGTTTGTCTGCATCTTTCCTGAATTCAGGACACAGAACTGGACACAGTACTGCAGATGGGGCCTGACAAACACGAAGTTGAGTGGGATAATCACATTTCCATCTCTTTGGTAATGTCCCTGTGGATACAGTCCAGGATCATGTTTGCCTCAGTTGCTACTGTGGGACGTTGCTGGATGATACTCAGTCTGTTGTCCACCAGGACCCTTCCAGCAAGGCTGCTCCTCCCAACCTGCAGATTCCAGTCTGTGCTGGGCTCTTGGGTTATTTAATCCCAGGTGCAGGACTTTACACTTCTCTTGAACTTCAGATACAATCTTCCTTGCCCATTATTCCAGCCTGTCCAGGTGTCTAAGAAAGCATTCCTTATGTGTCCAGTTTACCCCCATCAACAAAGCTGGTGAGGGTGCAAAAGCACCCCAGTATCCAGATCCTGTATGGAGATATTGAGCAATGTGGGGCACAGCATCAATCCCCGGGGTCTCTGCTTATGATGGGCTGCCAGCAGGAGTGAAAACCATTGATGATCACTTCTGGGCATGACCCATGAAACAGTTCCCTACTTGTTTTGTATACCACTTGCCTGGTCTGTGTCTCCCCAGTTTGTCCAGGAGCAGGCTGTGGTAAACTGTGTCGGACACTGTTGAAGTCCAGCCAAACAGCACCCACTGCTCTCTCCGTATGGACAGAAAGTAGCTGCCTTGTAGAAGGTGACCAAATCAGTCAGGTGTGACTTGCCTTTGTAAATTTCTGCAGACTTAGCCCAGTCTCCTGCCTTGGCTGGCTTCTAATACTTTTTGAAAGGGATTGTGCCATTGCTTTTTGAAGCAAATGTATCAAGTCTTGCTTTTTTCAACTGTATTTTTGAAGTTTGGAAGTTCAAAACAGCTTTTGTTTTAATGGAAGCAGTTAATTAAGTAGTAGTGTCTTATTTGCTTTATTAGATCTTGTATTTTAAAAATACTGTTAATCCAAGGCTCACAATGGTGAGGAACACTGTTTAGCTGGAACTCCAACTCCTATTTTAGAGTTGGTTTACTTTAGTGTACACTTGTGTGTGTGGGCAGTGACTCTTGGGGGCCACTTTCAGGGGAGCAGTCTACACAATTCTCAGGAGAAAATGTCTGTTGAACCTTGTTTAAGGTTACATCTTCAACCTAAACATTGATATTTCCTCTAAAGTTAACAGATTTTAAAAATAAATTACAGGAACATATATCAAAGTGGTTCGTCAGTCACTGTTTGTTTCCAGTCATTGCCCCATGGGGGTTGGTGTCCTGTGTTTGTTACAGTGACAAAGGACCTCACAGCTTCTCTCTTGTTCCCCTATCCTCAGGAAAGTTCAACTTGGCTTTGGCTTATTTCCCCCATGTAGTGAATTAAATTCTTTAGCTCTGGGATACCTTTTGAAGATGCCGTTGAGAATACTCCACCTAATGTGAATGTAGCAGATGAATTTGTGGAGAAGGCAGGAAGTATAATTTTCTCTGCTCAGATTGGGACTTTCTTTTGTGCATTCTCAGCTGAAGAACTTTGAGATAAAAGAGGCCTCTGCTCAACGAGCAAAGCGAGGTCTGTCTTCAGGAACACTCAGGAACTGAACAGCTCCATCCACCAGTTCCTTCATCCCAGGCATCCAGTGTTTCTTATGAAGAATCTTTTTATATGTGGCCTTGATTTCTTGAGCTTTGAAGATGAACCTGCTGTCTTGACCATCTTGAGTGAATTTCTTCAGCTTGTTTTTTATCTTTTTTGTTTTGCATAAATCTCCCTCCCCCATTTTTCGTGCTGGGGAGTTAGGCTTTTTTTAATTCAGTAACTCTGAGACACAACAAAACAAAAATAGTGTGACTAAAATAGCCTTAAGTGAAACACCCTCCAGAGCCTATAAAGAGCTGGAAAAAAAAATTGTATCTTGATTTTTGAGAGGATATAGGTATTAAATCTCTCCTAAAGACAGCCTGGAGAGAGGTGCTACCTCACAGTCCCCTCTGCTCAGCATCACCTTCATCCCTCTGCCCTAAAAGAAGAATTATAAGAGGGTGATTTCATATCCAGAATTGAGTGATAAACCATCTGGTCACCTTTCCTGAGAGGGGAAATGCTTTGGATAATTACTCTTTACCATTTTTAAGCTTCCTAAAAGTTTCTTAAAAATAGTTGCTGAAAAATGTTTATGGAGCAAAAAGGTTTCAATACTCCTTCTCTTTTTAGAATATCCCCTATCTACTTTCCTTACCAGGTTTAAGTAATAGTAGTTAGAGTAATAATAATAATAATAATAATAATAATAATAATAATAATAATAATAATATCATCATCATCACTGACATCCTTACCCAGATCTCAAATGCAAGATATTCCAGTGTTTTCTTTCTTTGGCTAGAAGATACTATAGTAGGATGAAGGGAAAGCAGAAGTATCCTTATCCAGTCCAAAGCTGTTTGTGGAATAGCTATGGAGCTCCGTTAAGAACAACTGCAGTTGAGGCAATGAGGCGTTTGCACATTCTAACAGGAGTTGTTCTCCTGTATTTGTGTATTTAAATCTGTCAGACTAATGGTGTTAGTACTGAATATTTTACAGTAAAACTGGTCAATGCTGATAAGCCTGTGTGAGTCTCCTGCATGCTGAAATCTAGCTTGTCTGTGGGCTCAGCCTCCCCGTAGTTGCCTGGTGGGGTGAGTGATGTCTCGTGCTCCCTTATAGCTTGTGTATGCATTTGTTCTTAGCCCTCACGGTAAGGCACTTTGTGTTCCTTGTTTCTGGAATTAAGCTTTATTTTTCCCAGTAAACTCTCTGGTGAAATGATTACTATCTCTTGGGGGAAGGGAAAGGAATCATTCTGTCCTAGGATGATGTTGAAAAGCTTTATCTCTTGAACAATAGAAAGGCTGAAACTAAAAATCACAGACCCTCTCAGTTGTAAAGCCATTGTGTCCTTTCATTGTGTCTTGTGCTAATGAAATTCTCTGCTAATTGCTGTAGGACCTGCTTGTGTTGACTTTCTCCCCAGCTGTCCTGCTGCCAGGGCTCCAGCAATCTGCTGCCAAAGCTTGTGTCCTGTTAGTGCTTTAATTAAGCAGTGTTCAGTTCAGCACTGTGAAGAAATAGCAGTGTTTAATCTGAATTCCTGACCTTTTTAATAGTCCCGACTTATGCTCTAGTGCCAGGGCTCTCAAGTGTGTGGTGTCAGTGGGACATGGGGTGCAACAGACCCCCTGCACCCTAGAGTCTTAATTTATGAAAATAGACAGCTGTGATGGACACAATAGACCATTTTTGTGTATGTTTATTTTATTTTTTTTGCAAAAAGAAACGTCTTCATGCAGTTCAGATGGGACAGTGAAGTAGACTGAAATTTAAAACTCTTTTTGTCAGCATCGTGGCACCTGTTCACAGCTTCTGGTAACATCAGTGCCCTCAGGCAGCATGTATCTCACAGGGCTCTGGTACAGCTTCAGGATGGAACTTCATCTTGGGCTTCTGGCCTCTTTTCTGGCCTGTTTCCAGTGGTGAAGGAGTTCTCTTCCTTCTTTATCTAAAAGGCATGTGTATGTGTGTCTGTACACTGAAATAAGCCTTTTTTGTTCCCTGTCTCTTGTTGCAGATGAAGCGGCCAGTGTTATCCAGTTTGGTAAATCAGCCAAGCGATCACCTGAGTCCACTCAAATCGGGCAGTATGGGAACGGCTTGAAATCGTAGGTACAACAAGAGCCAGCCTCCTGAGACTGGGGAGGTCATAGTCGAGGTGATCAATGTACTTTTTGCTCAGAGGTGTACAGCTTTTTTCCAGAAAAAAAAAACAAAAAAAACCCAGACGAACTCTTAAGATACCTTGGTTTGGTAGACAGGAGCTCTGTCAACATCTGCTGTAGTTTTCCAGTGGCCAGAAAGGCTCTTTACAGTTAATGACAGTGGTTTGGCACTATGTTTGCATAAGGCAGAGGGTACAAGTCAGAGCTCGGGGAAAAGAAGAGCTGGAAACAAAATAGTTATCTCCCTGTTACTGTCAGGTGGTAAAATTTGAGCAAAATAGTGCTGCAGCCTCCCGATAGGAAAGTTGTCTGGTGCAAGGCAGATGGACTTAAGACTTTTCTTTTTGTTCTTAAACCAAACAAATGCAGGGAGAAGGGGAATGATGGAAGTAATGAGAGGAGGAGTGAGATTAAGTGCAGAGGAGCCTATGTGGGAAGGGAATCCTAGTGGTTGGAGTGGATTTGGTAGGAAAGAGGAAGAAGTTTTCTGTGTCTTTGGAAAAGTTACAGGGCTTTGTGACTTACTCTGGCTGTTCTGCTTTGTGCTTACCTATGTGGCTTGATTATATGCATCCTACTAGGAAATCGGTGGGAATCTATAACCTGGGGGGAAAAAATCCAGGATTAGGAGATCTTGAGACACTGTTGGTTCAGCTGCAGTGCAGGACAGATCCTAGATCTTGACTTTATGCTTCCAGGACAGATCTCTGTCCTTTCTTAACCTTGAACAAGAGGTGTACTGTATTACATGTGAGAAATGCTGCCTGAAGCCCCAGCACGTTAAAGGTAGGTTGTGGTATTGCTGTGGTATTGACTTAAGCCGGTCTGAAGAGAAAGGCACTGACATAACACTAATACTTCTTTTGATGCAATGTTAATTGTTATCTGTCAAGTTGTTTTGGATGAGTTTGGTAACAGGATAACTTGGTAGAGAAGATAGAGAAGATGCAAATACACTATTTATGATGGGAGAGTGGGGAGGAAGAAGGGACTGTCTCTTTTTGTGGCAGCAAGCTGCTAAGCTGCCTTAGCTGGAATGTCAGTAAGGCTTTAGTTAGGTTAGGAAATGAATTTTCTGTCTCCAGACTGCTGCACTTGATTCTAGATACAATGAAATGAGGAATGTGCTTGCTTTCTCACTGACATTTTTCTGCTCAGAGATTTGAAGGTTATTGTTGCATCCCACCTCAATTGTCTTTTAATTTTTTTTAAATTTTTATTTAATCTTTCTACATAATATGAATCTGCAATGCGGTGCACCTTTTAATTGTGACTGGTTTAAATATTTTGAAACATTGTGAAAATGCCCAGATTGATATGCCTTCTGAAAGGAATGAGATGTTTAGAGAGAAATGGTAGTTGCTGTTTCAGCCTTTCTGCCTAACCTGGTTTTGTCATCTCATAACTGAACATGATGGGAAGAAAGCTCAGTAATGTGGCCCGTGTTCTGAACAGTGTGGTACATCAGGTGTAACACACACTCTGACCTCTGTCTGCAGGGGTTCCATGCGGATTGGGAAGGATTTTATCCTGTTCACAAAGAAAGATAACACCATGACTTGCCTCCTCTTGTCACGGACATTCCATGAGGAAGAAGGCATCGACGAGGTTTGCATGTGCTTCTTGTAATGAACTAATATAGTGAGTGCTGCCTCATCTGAACGTGCCCAGGTCTCACAGAAGAGTCTGTATCAGGGCTGGTTATGACTCTGATGGGATCAGTGTGTGGCTTTCTTTTGGCATTATGCTTCTAGGCCTTCTGCAAAGTCAACAGAATGTTTTTCCTTTTGATTTTAATTCTAATTGAGAAGTCTTTCTAGAGTAGAGCAAGTTTGAAGGGCTTGTTTCAGTTACTTAAAGGTGTGCTTATGCTAAGTTCAGGACATGCCCACAGATCTTACATTTTCCTTTTCCCACAAAATTTGAGATACGTTTAATTTTAGTGCTCTGATTTGATTTTGTGTAGAAAATTAATGGTGTTTAATTTTGAAGTTGCTACCCACAGGTCATTAACTGCAGGTGTGTCACTTACAGATATTTTTGGTTTTTAATAAAAAGTCATTGTAGTTCTATCTGTGAAAAATTTGTATATTTTAATAGATAACTCAGGCATTGTTGTTCTGGGCAAGGTTAATAATGAAAAGTTTTAAATTTGCACTGGGGTGGTATCTCAGAAAGCATCTTCCATTATGAGGGAGGGATTGAAAGGACCTGTGCAGAGAAGCTGGGGAGGGGCGCTGGATGCTGGTAGCCAGCCCATGACTGAAACAGGTTGGGAATAGTAAAGTAACTCTAATTCCCACAGCAGCTCTGGCGACTTTTTTGGCTTGACCACAGTTCCGGAATGGGATTTGTGTTCTTGATGTGCAACTGCAGTTTATACTTCTATCTGTATTTTTGCTCTAAATGCAGAAAAATCAAAGACTGAGATCACGATAAGTATGAGTGAAGGATATCTGAGTTCAAGAGAGAAATTAAGCCAGAGTGGTCTTTTTAGTATTACGGAAGTTGCTACATGGGAAGGGGAAAAGAGCCATTGAGTGTGTTGGGTAGCCAGTATTCTGTACATGTGACTCGGGAATGTTTCACTCTGAGACTGGTATTGTAAGAAGGCAACACAGAGGCTGGCAAAGAGGGTCTGTGAGCATTTGACAGACATGCGAACTGAAAAGCTGGAAAAGACTCTCATAGTGACTTAGGGATCTGTTAGGAGGGGTAAGTCGCTGGATCATGACCTGCAGGAGGGGCTAACTGAAGTGGGAGAGCCTGAGCCACTCTCAATACAATGGGATTTGCAGGTCATCGTTCCCCTGCCCACCTGGAACGCACGGAGCCGTGAACCGGTGACAGACAATATGGAGAAATTTGCTATTGAGACGGAGCTCATTTACAAGTATTCCCCTTTCAAGTCAGAACGGGAGGTGATGGACCAGTTCAATAAGATACGTGGTGAGAAAGGTACATATGGATGGAGCAGGTCACAAGTGAGGTATTTGGGGTTTGGCTGGGATTCACCTGGTCGACTTGTTACTTGCTCAGGCACCCTGGTGATCATCTTTAACCTCAAACTAATGGATAATGGAGAGCCAGAGCTGGATGTGACTTCTGACCCTCAAGATATTCAGATGGCAGAAACACCCCCAGAGGGAACGTAAGTGTGACTGGTGTAACAGGCTGATCAAATTTGGTGTAGGATTTGGGTATATACTGTGTGCATGGAGTTTTTTTAAGCTTCTCTTTTTGTAGTGAATTAGAGAATTTAGAAGATCTGTAGTTTGTTCTTTAGCAGTTTGGGGTTCATGTGTGTGTCGGCCCATGGGCATTGTGGCTGTGTTTGGGGTGAATACCTGCACTGGCTGATCTCAGCTTAGCCAAAGCAGCAGACTCGGTGTCTAGATACCATTAAAAAAAGGAGCTCTAAGTTTTATGTTTCATTTTCTTCACCTATAAAAGATGTTTTTGTTAGAATGAGAGCTGGTTGTGAGTCAGTGCTGCTCCCAAACTGCTGTTCAGTTTTGTGATTTTGTGGCAAAACATAAGGTGCTGCGCAGGTCAGCCTCTGTAGGTGGATAGTACAGGAGGCAGGTGGGGTGTATCATCACATCTCTCAGGGAGGAGGGAGGACTTTTCCCTGCAGAGAGGCAAGAAGGATGTGCTCAGAGAGCAGTTGGAGGAGCATGGGGCCCTGTTTAGAATGAGTGGAGTGTTTGCTGAGTTGATCACCTGTAGCCTGAAAACGAAAAATTGAGCTGAAATGACCCAAATGCTTGATTAAATCCCAGAACTGCATGGGCACACATAGCAAGCTCTACGTCTTTGATGAGATTACATGTTTCTTCCCTGAAGTGCTTGAATTTTTCATAGGGAGTTTCAGACCCTGTCTTAGAGTGTATTAGAGTGATGATACTGAACAAATTCCTTGGAGCCCTCCAAGGGACCTCGGTGTCTTTATTGCCTGTTTATAAGGCAGGTATGATTGCCACTTTTCACTGCCTCTTCCCTCTTCCCCATGGGTGTCAGTGAGTAGTGTAGGTTCTGTGTCAGTGTACTGCTGACTCACTGAAGAGTAGAAAAGCTCTGGTAGGTGGGCACACTTTTCGTGTTAAATATCCAGTTTATTGCTTTGGCCATTATTATCCAGATGTATTCAAACTCCCTCTTCATGCTGCAGTAACGTGTATCAGTGTCTTGTAGCAGTAGTCATGATGTACAGTTCAACAAAGAGTCTGGAGAAGACACAGAAAAAATTTAAAGAAAAGCTTTGTTATGTAGCTTCATGGTAATTCAAATAGAAAGACCTTTTCTTTCACCTTTTTAGCTAAGTGTATCTCTTTGGCATGTTCTGAAGTAGATGGCTCTCTTGCAGCAAGCCAGAGCGCCGCTCCTTCCGTGCCTATGCTGCTGTGCTTTATATTGATCCCAGGATGAGGATCTTCATCAATGGACACAAAGTACGAACCAAACGACTCTCATGCTGCCTCTTCAAGCCAAGGTAAGTGTTGGTTCCAAAATCTGCGGATGTCTGGGACCATTTGGAGTTACAGAAAAGGTGTAGTGTTTTGCTTTCCAGATGTATCTTGCATAATTCCATTCCTAACCCTAACCCTAAAGCCACAGAATCAGACCATAAGAGAACGGCATGTGCTGTTGACATCACGGGAAGAGAGATACATAGTGGAAAATCTAATGCCTTTGAAGATTGCATGAGTCATTGGTGCAATTTGGCTCCCTTTCAGCACAAAGAAATTAAGATCCTGGTTGTATGAACTGCCATATTCACACAAAACTGTTGGGTAACTGTTGTTTTTTTGAGCAGAAAAAGAAAATTGGTATGGTGGGTCTTAGGATTATTTCCAAAAGGAAGCTAGACTAAGCACTTTGAAACAGTTGCTTTTATGTTAGTTAATCTAGGTTTGAATAGAGATTGAGAAAAAGCTTTCCCTATATTCCTTTTAAATTTCCTTAAACAAAAAATGTGACAATGAGCTGGGGTGTGCTGTCAATTGGCTGAGCAGAGACTGGAAAAGGTTACTGAGATGGGAGGGGAAGGGGAAACCTGTATTTAAGTCTGCTTGAGGCAGACTCTCTGGGAGCACACAGTCTGTATTCTAGATACCCTGGCATAATTTATTTGAATAAAATAGTAGTAGTTTTGTAGAGTATTTGTGGATTTTTTAGTATAGCATTTTGGGCTCACTCAGCCTACCAGGTGCTATTAGCAGCCACATGCCAGTGTCATGCCACTGACAGTGCCTGAAGAACCTGGTTGGTTTTTAACTTAGGCTTTCTCAGCTCCTTACATGAGACTTACATGTGTGAAATGGTATCAGAAACTTGACCAAAATAACAGAATGTTAAACTCATTGCTCATGCTGGCCAGGCCAGTTGTTTCCCTGCAGAAGGCAGGGAACTTGCCACAGTAAATCCTGATTTACTGGGTAGAGAATCTCTGGATTTCCGGATTTTTGACTGCTTTATGTACATATGAGGGCCTTGTGCTTCTTTCGCTTGTGCTGCAGTCCATCAAAAGTACTAGGGAGAGAAACCAGAGGAGGACACAGGTTTTTATCTCATCAGAGACGAGCTTCTTGAGAGACTCAGACAGGATGCCATCATTGTGGGTGATGCTGCCAGCGTTATGACAATATTAGGTGTCCCAGGTCACCCCAGATGTTCATCTACCTCAGTGTCTTCTTGTTCAAGTGGTTCTAAGGAGCCCCAAGCTGATGGATTAGTGCTGGTGGCAGGTGTATCTCAGATCTGCTTATGCCACATCTGAGCAGACTCTGTAGATCTGCTTATGGTGATAAGCCAGTACAAATTCCCAAACACTGTAAAGACATTAACATTTAAAATCCCCATTCCTGCAATAGAGCAGTAAAGAGTGCAAGGCCTTCCTGTAGAGCACAGTGTTGTAAATCTTCTCAGATTTGTAGCAATTATTGTGGCTTTACTGGGCCTCTTTGGAGAGTGTCCAGACTGCTCCCTTGTGGCTGGACTTGCCAATGTCAGCTTTGGGGTCCAGAAGCTGCATGGGCATCAGGACAAGCCATCAAAACCTTCACTATGGGTTCTGAGAGCCAGCACAGCTCTTGGGGTAGATGCCACACTGTGCCCTGGGCAGGTTGAGGAAACTCAGTCTTTTTCCTAAAGAGAGCTCAAATCTGCCCTGGGTAGCTCTTTCCAAAGAGAAAACCAGTAAATTGGTCCATTCTGAAAGTGGAGTTACTCTGCTTTTACTGCCATAGGTGTGAGATTTTTTTACGTTTTTCTCCCTGAACCTGCTGAAAAAGGTTGCTTATGCCCTCACTTTCCCTTTAGAGCTGTAGCCAGAGCTCACCATCCCCACTTATCTACTAGGCTTTGAGTGCTCTGGAGGTTAATACTGGGTTAATCCTTTGCACTTGTACAGGCACTGCTTTGTGTGTGAGTGCGCTGGGGAAGGGACCTCCATTATGGTGCTCCTTTGGGGTCAGTTGATGTAGCAGAGATGGACAGCTCTTTAGCATGGCTGTGTTTCTGGGCCAGTAGCTTGGGCCAGGTAAGTGTTGAACCTTCCTGGTCAAGCAAAGGGATGGGGAACAGACAGTGGAGGTGCTGCTGCCTTACAGCCTGAGTAACTGGTATGCTTGTGTGGGACATCTGAAGGGCTCTTTTCTTTTAGTCATGGCTCCCTCCTGCTGTCAGTCACGTTGCCTTTATCTCTGAATGAAAAGTCTGTACAGTGGCTTGTCTGCAGGTTCCAGTGTTGTTGTTAATGGACAATGTATGGAAATCTGATGTGGATTTAGAGTATGTAAGTGGCTTTACTGAAAAAAAGGTTTGGCAGTCCTTGCACTGTTTTTCAGGAATAACAGTGCATCTCCTAAGCAGGACACCTGTTTTCTCTTTGTCACCATCCATGTTCCTGTGGGAGAGGCTTCTCCTCACCTTTCTGGAGCTGATAACATCTTAGTGGCAGGGACAGGCTGGTTTTGTGCAGATCCTTCACCAGCATTTGTGGCTGTGTTACCACATTCCCAGCTTCCCTGGGAATGGCTTGTGTCTCCTGAAGGATTGCTTCCATCTCTTCTCTTCCCCAGTACCTGTTGGAGCTTGTTTAGCAATATGGGCTGTGCAGGTAGAAATAGCCAGGTCACATGCAAGGTATGTGCCTTCACAAGGACACTCCAAGACAGCTGGAATGAGTGTCTTGAAGCTGGTGATGGCTCGCAGTGCCATCATCTAGGGGACACACACACACCATCATCTAGGGCAACACTGTAGTTGCTTGCAGTGCCCACTACAGCAAGGGAGCACTGTCCCTATGGTCCCTCCAAGTGCTGCACTGCCCGCTGAGCTGGACATGGGAGGATAATTCAGCTTCACTATGCTTCTCTGTCTTTTTATTTTCTCCTTAGAAATCAGGCAGATGTGGGTAAGGTAATGTAGTTAGGCCTACATGTTGAAAGCAGCTTGGCTTTCAGAGTGCTGTCTCCTGGCCCCAGATAGTTTTCATCAACCTTACATTGGTTAGAGACAGCGCCACCAAAATCCTGACTCTGTAGCTCCTGACACGATGAAATCACCAACTGTGATTTCTGGAAGTCTTAGCACCTGCCTGGTTTTTCCCCAGGGAGGAAATCCTTATAAATAGCAGAAAAAATGTTTAGCAAAATGTATTTCTGGGAACTGTGCTTGTGGTATTAATTTTCTAGATTTGGGGGCAAGGGATTCCTGTTGGTGAGACTATGTCTGATGTCAGTACCAACATCCGTGTGTGCTCACCCACAGAAACAAACTTAAAATTTTCATCAGTACAAGCTTGTTTCTCACAAATCCTGACAGTTTATGAGCCATTTGTGGGGAATTTTGTCTCTCGTTAGTATCTAAGTGTGATTCCAGTCAGTTGGTCAGTCAAGCGTTACATCCCCACCTGTGTGCCTCTCTGTAAAGAAAGCGTTTCTAGTGGCTTTTGCTTTAGCTGAATACTGGAAAATTTTATCCCGTCCATTTGGAATGGTATTTTCCTCTTGGTATATCCAAAACCTCATGTCTTAAGGTCATCTGAGTTCCTGCAGGCTCTGCTTGTCCTAGGTGTCATCTTTCTTCATGGCATGCTTAGAGGTGATACCCATTCATGAGCTTCTGCCTCACAAATACCCATCTCTCACTCTGCAGCAGTCAGTGAATTTGGATCTGTATTTGGCATGTTAGGATACAGGGAAGGTGAAACAAGCTGCTCCATCTCCAGCACAATTTACGAGGTTGTGAATCAGATGTGAAGCACACAGAAGTGTCCTGAAACTTGAAGTTCTGGTCAAATTACTGTTCTGCTTTGAGCTAGCCCTGTGTGAGATGGACCTGTCAGACTGCACCTGTGGACAGCTGTTCATAGGAAAGGTTATTTAGCTGTGGTGGGAGGGTTTTGAGAAGCTTTCCATATATATTCACTCCTCCTTTCTACTTCTGAAGAAATTGTTTCTCTAAATCTTGAGATTAGAATATGGATATATTTTGCCTCCACTGTTAATGCAGAAGAAGAGAGGGTATTGTCGTTGCAGCTACTACTAAGACATCTCTGACTTTAAAAGATTTTGCCTAGCTTCATCCAAGAATGTCCAGTTCATGATATGTAAACCTCCTCCGTTTATTTAATCTTTTGGGAGGAGTAGAGTAGCATATGGGTTCCTTGTTCTCTCGTGCAGCAATGAAATTTTGGTTTGACCTTACTGCTGAGTTTGCTGATTAATAAATTTTGATCATCACAGGATGTACAAATACACTTCAAACCGTTTCAAGACCCGTGCAGAGCAAGAGGTGAAGAAAGCAGAGCACATGGCAAGGATAGGTGAGTCGTCAGGGTATGCATGTGCCCTCGTTCAGCTGTTGCTAAGGGGAGGACCAAACCCTTGATTTGTGTGACCTGGGATTGCTTTCTTCTGGGATCTTTGAGATTGCTCAGGAACTGAATTATTGCAGCAACTACAGATGACACAGACTTATGTTCATGCAATGGAAGAAGTGTACATTGTTCCCAGAGATCAGTTCATCTGAGTAGCAGATATACAAGATAACTCTTGGAATCCCAGCAGTTTGCCCCCACTCCAGCAGAAGCCTGGCTGAGCCCTGTCACCCTGCAGTTCTTCTGTCACCTTCAACATACTATGAGCTTTTGGTTGTGTTTTTGTTCTGCGCCTTTTTTTTTCTTGTCACTTTAACGTAAAGGGATTGGTCTGAGTGTACAAGGGAGCCCTGGTTTGTTTGGTTTTAACCCTTCCAGACATACCTTTTGCCCATCTAATTTCCTTTCCTGTTAAGTCCTGTAATCCTCAAGAAAAACTCAGTTTGTCATTATTGGATATTCTGCATATAGAAATCACACAAGCATATAAATACGTTAAGCTGTATTATAACTGCATTAAATTTCCAGAAATTTAACACACAAAGCAGTGTCCCTCCCTAACCCTTGATGGAAAAATGCTGTAGTGAAGGAAGAAACTTGGAAGTTGTAAGTTACTTATATGTGACCTGTATCTTCTGGTAGGTTTCATAAATCAACTACATAAATCACTTGGAGTCATGTGTCCTCTGTCCCTGTGTCAAAGCTGCTTTAGGCACGGCTGTGTGTGGCTGCAGGTCAGATCCACAAGGGATGGTGCCACATTCAGCCTGTACAGTGTCACAGAGGGCAGTGTGACTGTGACCCTGCCTCAAAGAAAAGCAGCAGAGTGAAATGGTGTGAATTGCCATGTTCCCTGTTCCTCCTGTACTGTTCTAAGTACAGCCTGGCAAGATAGACTTGATAAAATGAAGCTTCACAGATTTTATTGTGTGCCACAATCCTCATAGGTGAATTTATTTTTAAATTCAGTCTTATAGCCAGGGCAGGTCTTGAGCACATACTCACTACTTTTCAAGAAGATGCAAAGAACAGGGTTTAGAGAGGCTTCTTCCCTGAAGCAGTCTATTAGGCTTTCATGACACTTAAAAATGGAGTTTAGTGTCTGGCACTGAAAAATGGTGCCCATTGTTGTCCCAGTGTTGAGAACAGGTCCCACTGGCACTAAAATGTCACACATTTCTCTCACCAAACCAGCCTGGTGCCTTTGGGCATGCAGGGATCACTGAATCTGCAGTGTGCCCAAGAAGGCAAATGATATCCTGGCCTGTGCTAGAAATAGTGTGGCCAGTAGGACCAGGGAAGTGATTCTTCTTCCCTGCCTGGTACTCAGCACTGCTGAGTAGTATCCAGTTCTGGGCCCTTCATTTCAAGAAGGACATTGAGGTGTTAAGAGTGAGTCCAGAGAAGGGCAACAGAACTGGTGAAGGGTCTGGAGTGCATGTCCTCTGAGAAGTTGGGGTGGTTTAGTTTAGAGAGAAGGAAGCTCAGGTAAAACTACCTGAAATGAGGCTGTAGCCACGTGGGGGTAGGTCTCTGCTCCCAGGCAAGTAGTCACAGGGTGAAAAGACATAATCTGGAGGTGCACCAGGAGAGGTTTAAGTTGGACATTAGGATTAATTTCTTCACAGGAGGGGTCATTAGATTTTGGAATGGACTGCCCTGGAAGGTGGTGGAGTCACCATACCTGGAGGTGTTTAAGGAAGAACTGTGGCACTTAGTGCTGTGGTCCAGTTGACATGGTGGTGTTGGTCACAGGCTGGACTCTATGGTATCAGAGGTCTTTTCCAACCTTATTGATACTGTGATTCTGTGAACTGGCCCAGTGCTTCTGGTATGCAGGGATCACCAAACCAACCCAGTACTTCAGGGAGTATTCAGTGATCACTGAATGGGCTTGGTGCCTCTAGGGAAAAGAGGGTGCTGAGCAAAGGGCTTAGAACACTATGGTGAAAACTCCCAGCTGACCTCAGACTGTTACTGCAAGATTGGGTCACATGGAGCCTCCAGGACTAAAACATGCTCGGCTCGGGGCATTATCCTCAGGGGCATGCAGCTCATTGCTTAGCTTGTAGGAAAATAGTTTTAACCTGTAGCACCAAGATTTCTTGTTCTGCTGGTAGAAATTATTAATTTCTCATGCTCTGCAGTACTCCAGAGGGATCCTCACCCAGGAATGATTGGCAGTTTTCTCTTTTAAACCCAGGAGTACATTGTGAGAAATGGTGAGTCTCAGCTGGGCAAACAGCAGTTCCAGAATGTCAGAAATACCTGCCTGCAAGGAATGTTTTGTAATCAGTCAGACTGAGAGATTGCTGAGTCTCTGGAAGTAGTTATGAGCTTGTGGAATCAAAACAGGATAACCAAAAAATAGCTGGAGGGGGAAGATGTATGAGCAGTGACTATTAGTGACATGGCTTTCACTTATCTAAGAAGAGCCACGGCTCAGGAGTGAAGACATACATATATTTGAGATGAGGAAAAGCCACTTTTCATTCCCCAGGAACTGACTTCCTGCATCATGCAATGAGCTTTTGTATCCAGATCTCCAAGTGAGTGGGTGGACCTAGGAAAAAGGTACCATTCCTGGGCAAGGTGGCTGTGAAAGACCATCACCTGCTTTCTGTGTTCTTCTGAACTGAAACTGAGTACTGCACTGAGGCACCTTAGCATTGCCATTGCCTCGCTTCTTGAAATCCCCTTCCAAAGTTTGGAAAGCAAACAAATGGAAGAGATGAGAAGTCACACAGGTGTCAAGTACTGGGAGCTAACAGCTCTGTGCTGCTCTAGGTATTATTTCAGATTATTTTGGGTGTTCAGGGACCTGCTTGGCAGTGCCATGGGCACACCATGACTATTGTCCCCTAGGAGGATGTGTATATGGGTTCCAGCTGCTGCGTGCTCACTGTCCTGCATAGGACACTCATCCTTATGCCTTAAGGCCTCAGCCCTGTAACTGTATCAGTCCCTGTCAGCTGTCTGAGTTGTCACTGCGTTAGTGGAGCAGGTTTGACCTATGCCCTTCTGGGTTACCACTGTGTTCTTTCCACTAGCCACAAATATGTTTAGCCACCAGCAACTTCCGTACAAGCTCTGATTGAAGTGGACCAAGTGCTTTAAGCAGCCTCCAGCCTCCTGTTGGCTTGATTTAGCCAGGCTGTCTCTTGATGATGGCTAGTCACACAGCAGAGTCCTTGGTAAGCAGCTGTGAACCCCAGAGCATGCTGCTTTGGGAATGAGGTGAAAAAACTCCACTGGGACACTACGTAGAAAGGAAAAGGGATTTCTGTTGTATTGGTCTAAGTGAACTGACTGGCTACAGACTCCAGTTTCCTTCTGGCTGGCAACCGAGTGCCGCTTTGTGGAGAGATATTGGTGGTCCCTAGTTGCTAGCCTGTCTTCTCGCTTACCTCGTCCTATGTAAATCTTAGGCAAGGTTGCTCCTTCACTGGTGTGTTTCCTTGGTTTGAGTGTCTCACAGCCACAGTTTATCTCCCTGTGAGAAGAGCAGGGAGGGAGATGTGTGATGTGTGTGCTTCTGGGTGTGCTGTAACCAGGCTGCTGCGCCCCCAGGTGTGGGGGTTCAGGCATTGTTTGCCTTGGTGTGAGCTATGCCATCCCTCAGCATGCACCCGTTGTATTGCCAAATTACAGAATCACAGAATGACTTGGATTGGAAGGGATCTTTAAGCTCATTTTGTCTGAAGTCTCCCTGAAGCCTTCTCCTGGATGAGCATCCCTAGCTCTCCCAGCCTGTCTCCAGAGCAGAGGGGCTCCAGCACTTGGAGCATCTCTGTGGCCTCCTCTGGACTCTCTCCAGCAGCTCCAGGTCCTTCCTGTGCTGGGCCCCAGGGCTGGCGGCAGCTCTGCAGGTGGGGGTCTCACCTGGGTGGGGCAGAGGGGCAGAATCCCCCCCCTCCCCTGCTGCCCACGCTGGGGGATCAGCCCAGGGCATGAGAAGTTTCTGGGGGTCAGTGCAAACAGGTGGGGCACTGCCAGCTCTCATCCACCAGCACCCTCAAGTCCTTCTGCTCAGGATTGCTCTCAGTCCATTCTCCTTGTGGAAAATGAGGTTTATTGAATGAACTTTAAGTAATACAAGGGTGTGCCTATCATCAGCATTACTGTTTGTCTAAGAGAGAGGCAAAAAGGGGAGTTGCTTTTATGTGATAAGTTTCTTGCATGCAAGGATCATGTGCAGGGTAAGTTTTCCAAATGCTGGGTCCTATTTAATGTGTAGCACAGATTTGTCTTTTTTCCAGGCAAAATTTAGCAATTATCAGAGATAAAAGCCTTTCTGAGAGTAGTCCTTTCCCTTAATCTCTGCAAGAAAATTACCTCTTTGGAACTCCTTTTCAAGCCTGAACTTAGTCCTGGTTTTGTGAGAGCCTTTCTCTGAATCACATTACCAGGCAGAGCAGGCAGGGCCACGGGCATTCTTATACTTTACAGTTCCTTGTTGACTTCCTCATGGATCCTTCCTTCAAATGTGCTTTTGCACAGTTTATCCTTGCTATTGCGTCAGTGTTGACTGTTACCTCTGAGCACATTTAAGATGCCGCGTCTGTGAGACCCTCTCATGTAAGGTTTGATTTTTGTACATTTTTGTGTTCCCTTTGTATCCTTGTACACATCAGTGCAGCAAAGGCTCTCTGGAATTACTCTCCTTGGGTGAATGTCTGACGATGTCTGTTTGTACCAATTGACATCCTTGTCCCTGTATGTTTCAGCGGAAGAGAAGGCTCGTGAGGCGGAGAGCAAAGCCCGTGCCCTTGAGCTGCGCCTTGGAGGGGATCTCACGCGGGAGTCCAGGGTGAGTCTTGTGCTTTCGGCAGTATGTCTTGTTTTGGGCACCAAGGGATGGTTTGGAGCACTGGCAGTGGAGTGATGCTGACTAGGCAGCACTCCATGGCAGCATGCTGTGTGCTGGTTAAGCAGGTGATGGCTCCAGTCAGCAGTGAACTTCCAGCAGCGTTTAGGCATCTCCACGGCCTCAGCATCACTGGATATGCTTCACCATCTTCATATGGTGTCCAGCCCAAGTGAGAAGTGTGCTGGCATTCCCCTGCCTACACCCCAGATATACCCTGCCTGGGAAGGTGACCTCCAGACTCCTGGTCCTGTTTGCTGACAGCCTCTGTGGAACAGAACTAGAGCTACGTGCTGTTTGGCTGTTCCCTGCTGCTTGGGCAGCTGTCTCTAAGGCATTTGGGCAGGGACTTTTGGAGCAGGCCTCTTTGCTTCCTTCCAGTGCGACTGTGGCTCTGAGGGGTGCAAGACTGAGCCCAATGGCAGGAGTTGGGAGGAGGGCTGGCAGGGACACCGGGAAGGTCAGCCAGTAACACCCGTTAAAATCATTGAGCTTCTTATTGGTATGGCATGGAAACAACAGTATCCAAGTGCCCGGGATGTTTCCTTGTGCTCTATTGTGACTAGTTTCAATTTCCTTAGTCCTGTTATTACATGTGGACGTTTTCCTCCAAGCAACTGTGTAGCTGCTTAAACAACCTAGCATAAATGTGCCCTACATGTGGAGTCACGCTGGTTGTCGCCCTCTACCGGTTTTCACTTCTTTACATTTAAAACATTTCTCAGCTCTTCATGAAAGACCAGTAAATCAAATTGAGTGAATTTTATGAATTTCCCAGCTTGACTATGCAATACCTGTTTACAGGTGACACTGCGTCAGGTCCAGAACTCGGCCATCACCATGCGGCGGGAGGCTGACGTCAAGAAAAGGATTAAGGATGCAAAGCAGCGGTGAGTACAGGGGCTTCCAAACTCTAGTACCTAGGCTGTTTGCTCCATGCTGCTTTGCATGTGTGTTCCGTTCAGCTCAAAGCTGAACCATAAGATCCATGGGCATCTTATCTGCCTGGGTTGTTAAACCAAGCAGCTGGGGCACTATTCTGGTTACCTCTGATATTCCCCTCTTATCTGCCGAAAGACCTGTGGGTCTTTGGATTGCGTTGTTTGGTGTAGATGTTTACCTGGTTTTCACATCTTTTTTTTCACTCTTTTGCTTTTTCACCTTCAGATAAGATTCAGGCTGATGAACAAATGTTCACAAGTTACAATGAAACTGTTTGAGGAATTTTAGGGTTGTTTTCTCAAAACAGGCTGAATTTTGGTGTAGTCACTGCTGTGAAATCCCAAGCCATTCTTGTCGTTTAGCTCTGGTGGCAATTAACTTTGGTTTTTGATGTACTCACAGGAATATTTCAGGCTTCATATACATGTGTTTTACATTTTTCAAATGAAATGAAAACCAGAAACAAATGCTCTTAAAAAAATGCTGAGCCTGAGGAAGCTGGGATACAGCATGTCTCTATTCCCACCCATGTGTGCATGCTCATTTACATGGCTGCCTAGGTCAGAACTATCCCAGACTTGTTGCTGGAGATAGATCTAATAATCTGAAGATGCCAGAATGAAATAAATAAATACAGCTTTAATTTAAAAGTGCTAGAGCTAGGATCTGAATGATATAGAAGCTTGTGAGAGAAGCTGTTTCCTTCAGCTTCCACACATTTTTCCATCTACACCTTGTTCTTTAATTCTTGGGTTTAGTGACATTAGTGTGCAATGAAAAATTTTGTGAATAGTCTTCTGCCCTTCCTGCCCTTCCTGTTACTAAGCTGATCAGCAAAAGAAATGCTGTGGGCAGGGACGTGGCTTTCCCTGTATCCCTGCATTCATCACTCGTGATCAGAAGCTGTTCAGAGGATCGTGCTTTTCCACAGCATTATACTTCATTCAGAAAACCAAAAAAGATCCTGAAAGATGGGTATAATAGGGTAGCTTGGAGCTAACAATCTGTACTAACCAATCCCTGTTGTCTTTTGGAAAATTCTTGAGTTACAGAGGATGTCTTAGGACAGTTTTCTCCTGTTTCCATGATGTTGGGCACATCAATGAAAGAAGTGCTTTCTGGTTTCCAAAGGCTATGTAAGATCAGGTTGGATCTGAATCCAAAAAATAGGACAGGTACTAAATTTCTAGTAATGAAATCCCTGGCTTTTGGCCCACCACTTTGTTCTCCATGGTTTGCATGATAATTTTACTTCCTGTCCTCTCTGATAAAAATGAGGAGATGTCCTTCTTTTGTAGGTGAGTACATGCTATTACTTGAAATGTAAGGCTCTACTTTCTTTTCTAGAAGTTAGGAGAAGAAAATGAATCCCTGAGATGGGTGTTTTGCCCCACTTGCTCATGCTCTTGAATCATGGTTGTCTGCCTCAGTGGGTTGAGACCAAAGGGTCACATTCCAGCCCAGCAGTTAGCAGTGTTCAAGACCACTCTTGGCAACAGTTTAGATTTAAAACTACTGAAAGCTGCTATTTCAGATGTTTTCCTAGGAATGTACTACAGTCACCTGTTGTAAATGAACGTGTGTCACAGGGTACCATTGCATCTGTGTGAGGGAGAATGGCCTTAAACAAAAAATGGCTATGAATTTAATTTATTTTTGGGATTTATTTTGCAAAATTTCACCATTTAGACAGACTCGGATCTCGTATCTGCAGGTGATCATTGTGTAGGGTTCATGCATGCATGGATCAGGTCTTCCTAATATTTGATACTAGTAGACAGTCACCAGAATATTTTAAAGAGTTCCACTATCTTCAGCTAACCATTTGAGCAGAAGTCAAATTCTTCATTAAGATAAAGTACATAACTGCAAAGGACTTGATGGAGGCAGGTAGGTAATATAAAGGAGGTCGAAATTGAGAGAGGTGGGCAGGACCATGGTATAGTCTCTGCCTTGCAGTAGTTACTGGTTTGGACCTCGCATTTGAGGATACCTTCCTCCTGAAGCTGAGGATCCTTCTTATGAAAAATCCTCAGTATGGATATCAGGGAAGCTGTGGAACCTGATTAATTTAGTATGTTGAAGAGCAGGACTTCTGTTTGTGAGATGCTTTGATTTATAGCACAAAGAGATCAAAATCTCAAGGCTTTTGGCCTTAATGGAGATAGAATTCCTGGTAACTAAAGATTCAGATTGAGAAATCCCTATGGGCTCACAAACGTACTCAAGGCCAACTTTTGTTGGAGTCACCTGCTGCATAGATCGGCGAGAAATGCAAATTGATATCCCGACATTCCAGAAAATAAAGCTCTGCCTGGGCTGTTTGTTGTGTCCTCCAGGTTTCCAATTTAAGAAGCAGCCTTGTGAAATTTGGAGTTAGATGAACTTCTAGAATTGAAATACCAAGACTGTAGTTTTGTATTGAAGTCTGAATTTCCATGCTTTATCTAGAAAGAGATGTATAGCAAACCAAAATAGCATGGGAAAGGACCAATCTGGATGCAACAGTGCTCTCATGAAGCTAGTTCACTGAATAAAAACATCTGAAGTAAAAACCAGAATCCATTCTGAAGGAGAAAACTTACTCAGATGAATAATTAAATTATCTGTCCAGCCCAAATTAGTATTTGTATTGCAAAGTTTTTGTATTTTGTTCATACTTGGTTGTAATGCTCTTTCAACAAATGTTTTGTATTTCTCAGAAGTAGCAGTTTACAGGATTAATTTAGTGCTCAAGGGTGCTGGATTTCCATACCTTCTCTAACACTAGCAAGAATACGCTTTATTTTCAGCATCTCTTGAGGCTCTGTTTCATTCCCTACAGGGCACTGAAGGAGCCCAAGGAGTTGAATTTTATCTTTGGGGTGAACATTGAGCAACGCGAGCTGGACGGCATGTTCATTTATAACTGCAGTCGGCTGATCAAGATGTATGAGAAGGTGGGCCCACAGCTGGAGGGTGGCATGTGAGTCCTGCAGATTTTTCTGCAATCTTTTTGCTTAAGCCTGGCACATTTCTACATCTGACTTAGGCTGTGCAATAACCGTGTTCTGCATTAATCATTCTTCATGAGTCTGAGGCTTACTCATTTTGTCAGCCTTCAGTTTGCATTCTGACAAATAAATTATATTTAATACTGCCTAGTATTTCCCCGGTTTCTTGATAGAAAGTTCTCTACACAAATTTTAGTCATCTCTGCAGCAGTATGAGGTTCTTGGCATTTGGTGCTGATGAGTGCTGGTAGTAATAGTGCCCCATTCAAGAGACAGGCAAAATAGGTCTTGATAGCAAATACAAATATTCGAGCCCATCTTACATTTTGCATGACGGTTCAGGTTGCCAGCCTGTCAGTATAATGTTTGTGACTCTGTGTCCCTCTTCCAGGGCATGTGGAGGAGTGGTGGGCGTGGTGGATGTGCCCTATTTGGTTCTGGAGCCAACCCATAATAAACAAGACTTTGCTGATGCCAAGGAATATCGACACTTGCTGAAGGCTATGGGAGAGCATTTGGCTCAATATTGGAAGGATGTTGCAATAGGTAATGAAGCTTTGGGATTACCAGGGTCTAGAAGGAGAAATTTGGGTGGTTGGAGGGCAGCCAAGAGAACAGGCAGTGATTTTGTGGTAGTGGCTCCATATTGAGCAAGATGTGGTTTATTTTCCAGCCCAGAGAGGTATCATCAAGTTCTGGGATGAATTTGGTTATTTATCAGCAAACTGGAACCAGCCTCCGTCTAGTGAACTGCGCTACAAGCGCAGGAGAGCCATGGAGATCCCCACCACAATTCAGTGCGGTGCGTCTAATCCAGCTGCTTCTCCCTGGGGAAGGGGGGGGACACTCCTGGCTGCGGATAGGGACAGTTAAATGCTTAGGAGATTTGGGATGGACTATCATTTTCTTCCTAGGGCCCGTCTCCTCTGCAATTTGCCCTTGTCTGCTCTCAGTGGTGCTCTGTGGCATCCTGGCATAAGGCTCCTTTCCTGCACAGTTCACTAACTGATCTTCAGGTGCCCTGACAGAGCAGGGCGGCTATGACCAGTAGCAGTGTTGAGAGCAGGCTTACAAATGTCCTGTGAATTGGAACTCACCTGAGACACCCATCCCAGCACCAGAATAAGATCTGAAACATCCTCACAGGCAATGGGAAGTATCCAAGTAATTTGTACCCTGATGCACTGGCCTGCACTGTATCAGCACAGTGGGAACATTTTACACTTACCTTGGAATTTAATGCAAGTTCTCTTCTGTGCACCTCTAACAGCTCTGGCTAAGCCCTTGTTAGAGTAATAGGAAGTTCAACACCATCATTTTGTCACCTAGTGGAGGGACACCAAACTGCCTTATTTTCTCCCCAGGACTTGAGGATGTGGTTGTAGGAGGGAATGTAAGGCCATTCTTGTGGAATTTTTTTTTTAGGCTCTTCTGCCTTGACGGTTGTCTCATTCTTTTCAAGGTTCTTCTGAAGGAGGAGGGGCTTTACTCTCCTTTTTATCTTCTCATGTTGATATCTTTCCAGAGCCTGATTTAAGGACGCTTGGATTTTCTTGGCAGAACTTGTTTTTGTGAAGCTGTTAGTTTCCTGGTAGGCCAGCAATACTCTGGAAGACAAATCTGTGTTTCTGGTTCATCAAAAATTTAGTAGTTAGTTTGTATTTTTTAGTGGATAAGTCTCTGATTTATGTTACTTTGGTATCATTAAGAGACAGCCTGACTGCTGGGCTGAGCTGTGATGTCAGGTCATAGTTGCAGCAGGAGTGGGAGGTCCTCTGGTGTTGGTTGATGCCAGGCTTCATTGCATTCTTGTTAGGGTTGTCTTTGAGGGTTTCATTCAAGTGTTTTGTGAGCACAAAGAAAGAATTGACTCAATATATTGTGACTGTCTCTTGGTTTTTTTGGCCACTAGTCTTACCGTTATTGGATACACTTGGGTGTGGTCCTTGGGCATTAATTGGGCTGTGGGAGAAAATGTGTCTCAGGCTGTGTATTTCTGACTTGCAAAGTGTCTGTCTAACAGATGTCTGTCTGAAGTGGCGGACTCTCCCATTCCAGCTGAGCTCAGTGGAGAAGAACTACCCTGACAGTTGGGTGTGCTCCATGAACCCTGATCCTGAACAAGACAGGTAAGAATCAGTTAATAGTCAGACTTTACTGCAGGCTGCCTTATCTGCATATTTGGAGCTTTTTTCTGGTCATCTCTTCTTTGAAAACAGTTGGAGGGATTCTGTACCTTTAAGCTGTGCTCACAGTCTGTGAAAAGGCAGAAATGGCAATTGTATAGGAAGCTGAATGCTGGGTGGGCGTTTGCAATATGCAAATTGCAGAGGACATCCTCAGCAAGTGACAGGTCATGCCAAACTGGGAGGAGCAGGTGACAAACCAGGCAGTCACAGATCCATCCAGAGGGACCTGCAAGTTGGAGAAATGGAGCAACAGAAACCTATCCTGACATTCAACCAGGAAAATGCAAAGTCCTGTCCTTGGGGAGGACAGCTCCAGCAGTGGTGTGTGCTGTCCACCCCAGAGCTGAGCAGGCTCAGAGTGTTCTCATCAATGTATACAAACATCTAAACGCAGGCTGCAAAGAGGATGGAGCCTGGCTCTTCCCAGTGGTGCCCAGTGGCAGGATCAGACACCATGGGCACGAACTGGAATACTGGAGGGTCTCTCTGCACATCAGAAACACTTCTTTCCCTGCGAGGGTGACCAAATCCTGGCCTAGGTTGCTCAGGGGGATTGTGTAGTCTCCATCCTTGGAGATATTCCAGGATATGGTCCTGGGTTCCTGGTGCTGGGTGGTGCTGCCAGAGCAGGGTGGAACCAGATAGACCCCAGAGCTGCCTGTAGCCTATCAACCAGTGATATGGTGAAATTTGGATCCTTGATGGTTTTTCTGCACTGGCACAAGAAATACTATTGTAGGTTTAGATTATATTAATTTTGCCATGGGCAAAATAGATGGCAGTTGGAGAACTGTCATGGTGCAGGCTGGGAGTTAGGTGAGTTCTGGGGGGGCTTTGTAGTTGTCTTTATTGTTCCTACTGCTCCCACCCATCAGACAACAAACTGCAACAATTCCATTTGGTTGGGGTGGGCCCAGGAGGGACATTTTGCATGCTTGAGGGAGCAGCACAATGGTTCACTTTCCAGTGCTGTGCTTTACAGTTCCAAAATGTAGGTAGAATCTAGTGATTTATTTGAGTGAGGAAAATGATTGCTCTAGGCTGCTTCTCTGTGGAGAGAACACTGCTGGAAGCCAGTTCTTGTCTATATTGTGTAAGGAAGGGAAGCGTTTGCTCCACTGTAACTCAGGTCCCTTGTCTCAGGCCTTAAAGACAAAGGAGATGAATCCAGGCAGTAACTTCTGATTGGAATAAAAATTTTAACATCTGTGGCCGAAAATTTTGTGGAATAGTGATACTATTTTGAAGTATTGACTTTCTGGCTTCTTCCTTTTGGTACCTCCCAGTGGAAAAATACCTGTGCTCACTTCCTTGTTTGCTCCATTTGTATGTATAGCTCCTGCTGTAGAGCTCTGAGGAGTGTGGCATTGCTGAGGATGTTCCTGGACAAAATGCTGGGGCAGTGCTGAGCCTGGAACCTTAGAAGGGGCTGCCACATCCCCAGCCCTTCAGGTGGAAGCAGTAGTGAGGCTCAGAAGATATTGCTTGTACACACACACAGACACAGATCGTGTATGTACACACATCCAGCCCCACAGATAGCACAGGTGGGTATGTGCAGCACTCCTACAGACCACACCAGCAGCTTCATCCTTTTCCCTCTTGGTTCATCAGGATGAAGGGCCACTAGTGGAAATACTCATGTCCATGCCTGGCCTCCAGATCCCATGACTCTGGTTACTTGCACTGGGATAGATGGGCCCTGAGGCCTGCAGTCCCAGGTAGTGAGTTTTACAGACCTCCTGTGGTTACACATAGAACACACACATTACAGACCTCCCAGTGTCTCACTCTGGGCATCTCTCTGTCTTGATTGGATTGGGATCCTTGCTCTTCCCAGGTGCTTTCTGCCTAGAGAGACCCACAGCTCTGCCTATATCCCTATACCCATCTCCATCAGCTGGCACTCACTTGTGCCTCCAGTAGTCAGCTCCTGCAGGTCACCCTTAGATGTCCCTTCCCCTGCTCCCAGGTAACCTCCTGGTTGGCTTACTCTGGAAGAATAACTCCAGGATATTTTTTGATTAAGTAGGCTTACATGTGCTTTCCAGCAGCGAGTTCATTTGTGTCCTTTACATGAAGCAGAAGTTGCTCCAGCATTCCTCTGGCTTTTGGCTGAGGCCAGTTCCAAGTGCTGCACTGTTGGGTCCTTGTGCAGAGTTTGGACACCTTCACATCTGTGTCCTGACCATTCCAGGTATTTGTGGTGTCTGAAGGATGACAGGATTTGAGAAGCACATGGGTGGGGTCCTCAAGGTTGTGTACTGTGAGGGTGTGTGCAGGGTCTCATCCAGTCAAATTGGAAATGAAGCAATGTCAGAGCAATGTCAGGTCTTGAGACTCTCCTGGTATCAGAGATTGTATGGTAGTTTTGGCTGCCTCAGCAGTGTCCACTGTTGGCACTGAGCTGTTGCCCACCCTTCTGGTTTGTCCACCTACACTTCAGTGGCTGCTCATGGCATGGTGTTCCAAATCATCAGAGCTGAATGCCCATCTCAGTCTCTGTCATGGGAAGCAGTCACTCCTGCCAGTGTCTGTGTTGCAGTCAGCACCAAGTGCCACCATCACTCACTTTGTTAGAGAGAAGGCAGTGTCCCTGTTTCACACTATGAAAGAGTGTTAGGCCTGCTTGCCTCTGTTCTCCTATCTGATATCTAGTTGGATCCTAGATGTCCTTTGAATGGGTGGCTAAAGCACCAGCTGAAGATGATTGTATGTCTCAAAGCTCCTTGACCACCACCAGAATCTTGGTTTTAATCCATTCTGACTACCAAGATAATTCCTTTGTTCTGATTTGCTGCCTCCAGTGATGCAATCTCTGCGTTTGGATGCCATGAGTAGTCTGAATTTCTCTTGTTGCAGAACTCAAGGTGCTTTTGTTCTTACTGTGCTGTAAGACACAGCTTAGCAAGCTTCCAGCCAATTGCCATGAGCTGGAAGATGCATTTTCATGCTGGGAAATTTGTGTATGATGCCACTTGTCAACTTTGGGAACTGCAGATTTTGTGTCAGGCAGTCATTTTGCAGTGGTGACACACACTTCCAAGGAAGCCAAGGAAGTAACCACTCTCTGGAAAACACCGCAGCAGTGCTTCAGCTGGGAAGAGGCTGGTGGAGGAGCTGCTGCTTGTGCTCCTTCTCACTCACAGAGCTGATCAGTGTGTATCTGGTATAGAGATCTTGATAAAATCATCTCTCCTCAGCTTTTTGGAGCTTTGAGTGTTATACAGTGAGAGCCGGGTTCTCCCTTTACTAATAAGACTCTCTTCTGCAGGTTACCAGCCTGGTTCCAGTGCAGTGAGATCTGCTGGATCTCTTGGCTCAAACCATTCTTCCATGACTTTACCCAGCAGGGCTGATCCTGATCTGTCTTTCCATGACTCTGTTTGCTGATAAGAGATGAGCCTGGGTTCAGTCCCCTCTTCCTCCTCTGGCAGTGCTCCTGAGGGCTAGCTGCTCAGCCAGCTGATGCCAGATGATGCCAGTCCATTTGGGAGGGTATTTCCGACCTCTGTTTTCCTTCTCTCTCAAGGACTCTTCCAGGATTCTGCACCTGAGAGGACCTGGGAGAGTAGGATACTTACCACTGTTGTAAGCCATAGGCTGAACAGGATGGAAAAAGCAAATAGCTACAGGATATTGCCAAGGACACTGCCTGGCCTTGAGTGGCAAGGCAGAAGGCATCTGAGGCTGGAAGGCTTGTGGTAACATCTTAGTCATGGGTTTCTGGTACTGTGCTGTCCTTTCTGAAGGGAAAGAAGTCTGTAGAAAGAAGAACTGATATGAAGGAATAAGCTGATAAGAAGGAAAATTGCTGAAAAATTCTGGAGTATAGATGCAGTACAGAAGCTATCACAACTGTCATAGTTCCTGGGCTCTGAATTGGTGATTCCCAGCATAAATGCCCTTTTATTAACAACTATGCTTTTGATCCTTAATTCATATCTATTTTTCAAGTTGAAAACCACTACTTTTGAGATTGTGGGTACTGCAGAAAGGCAAGTAGCTTTCCTGCCGCATGTGGAATGGGATGTTGGGATAATCCTGCATGAGACGATACAGGTTCTGCTGTCCTTACTGAGGTTTTCTTACATTCCCTCCATGCTAGATGTGAAGCTGCAGAGCAGAAGCAGAAGGTACCACTGGGAACTCTAAAAAAAGACTTGAAAACAAATGAGGAAAAGCAGAAACAACTGACAGAGAAAATCCACCAGCAGCAGAAAAAGCTGGAAGCTCTGCAGGTGAGTCTGGAGGTCTCTAGCTAAGCAGAGCAGGTGTGATGGACCTCCATGTGCAAAGAGCTACTGCTGAGTCTGAAACCATCTATGCTCCTTCATGGGGCTAGGGCTGTTCTAATAACAGAAATTGATCATCTCAGCTTGCATTTAATTTTCTTTTGGGAAAATGGAAATGACAGCTGAAGGGATGTCTCTTGAAGGACACAAACCGCACCATAATTGTTGGTTTTAGCCTAGAAAACTGCTGGAATGGTTTCAGGCAGCCTCTGGCAGCTTGTAAACATGACCTTTCTGGGGGGTTTTTTTTGTTGTTGTTTTTTTATTGGGTTTTTTGGGGTTTTTTTTGTTTGGTTTGGTTTGGTTTTTTTTTTTTGTTTTTTTTTTTTTTTTTTTTTGTTTGTTTGTTTGTTTTTTGTTTGTTTGTTTGGTTTTGGGTTTTTTTAAATTATTTTATTTTATTTTATTTTTGTTTTTGTTTTGTTTTGTTTTTTGTAGAAAACCACTCCAATTCGATCTCAGGCTGATTTAAAGAAACTGCCTCTGGAAGCGACCACATGGCCTTCAAGGGAGGTAAATGGGATCCTGCTATAGGCTTTTACTCTTTTGTGCTTCCTTAGCTATTCTGAACAGCAGTTCCCCACTATTCTACCCTTCTCTCTCTCTACCCTCCTTTGTTTCAGCACATCCAAACTCAACGCCCACGATCTCCTCCTTTACCTGATATAATCAAGAATGCTCCCCGCAGACCACCAGGATCTTCACCTCCTCCCAAGTCCTGCAGTCAGCTGAAAAAGAGGCCTTCAGATCGTCCAAATAGCAGCTCTCCCAAGCTAGCCAGCATGCCCTTCAAGGAGGAGGCCAGCACTTCCAGGACACATCATCACACTGTTACAGCTGGGAAGTCTAACAGCACTTTAAAAACTCCTGCCAAAACAGGTACAAGCATGAAGTCCCTCTCTGGTCTGCAGAGCCCCAAAAGCCCACGTGAGACGTCCAGTCTAAAAGCTGCCAAGGTGCCAGCAGTAAGGAAATCTACCTCTGGCAGATGTTTACAGGTAAGAATCAATGGGATGAAACCCCTCAGCTCCTCACCCACTGTCCTGCTCAGCCTGTCTGCTCTGTCTTGTGGTATATGCGCTGTGGATGCTGCACAGGACAAAGAACTTTTACTTTAATCTTGGGTTAGGTTAGGGTGCATTTACACCCCTCGAGAAGATTGGTCTCATCTCTTTCCTGTTAGACCAGATTGTTTCCCCAGGGAAAAAGAAGTGTATGGAATGGTGGGGTGAGCATTTGCCTGATGATGTAGCACCTCTAAAACCTTCCAGAAAAGCTAATTAACTACCAAATTAAACAGTGGATGTTGGGCTCTTTTTTTTTTTTTTTTTTAACTTGGCTGCAAGAAGATTTTGGTTGGAAGTAGGTTGGAATTAATAGCTAGAGCTTGTTTGCTTCCTTCAGGCCTCCAGCACTCGAAAGAGGGCCTTGAACATCCCAGAGGATGGGTCTGAGGAGGAGGCGGAGCCCAAAAAGGAGAGGACAAAACGAGGAAAATTTTTGGCAGTTAAAGAGGAAAAGGATTCCAATGAGGTGGTGGTGGAGGTGAGAGTGTGCTGGTTTCCCCAGCAGAAGGTATTTGTCAGATGTTTATAATCTTTGTGGGAGGCCACTAATGTGAGCTCTCTCTACTCCCAGCTCACAGACAGTGCTGGAGAGGAAGAGTTGTTGGAACTGAAGAAAGCACAGAAAGGTGAGAAATGAGCCCTTAGGCTGTCACTAGTATCTGACATAGAAAAGAACGGTTGCACTAGTTTAAGGTGTGATTTCATTAATGAGATTTTAAAATAAGAAATCGTGTCAATTTAAATTCCAAACCCCAAGATTACTCTAACTTGCATGAAATATTTTGGCTGGGAGCCTTTTGATTAGAGCAGGAGCAACTGTGGTGTGGAAAGGTCTGTGACTGATGGCTGTGTCACATTGACAGGGGTGGGGCTGGGCTGCAGGGTGTAGTTGATAGCATGTTCACCCTTCCTAAGTGGATCGTACAGCCATGCCAGCTGGAAAATGTTCAGGACTGTATCTAGATCTGCTGCACTGCTGTGAGAGAAGAGGGGCTGGGAGACTCCAGGAAAGGTGATAATGGGGATGGTACTGCACCATCTGCCAGAGCAGGGCATCTTTTCAGCATACTTCCAGGGAGCTGTTTGCAAAGTGGCTCACTAGAGACATGTGGCAAATTGTCCTAGAGCCTATTGTGAGACTGTAAAGCCCATGTCAAACAGCTTGGAGTAGAGGAGAAACCTTCCATCTGGAATTGTCAGCTCATTTCCATGCATCTTTGTGTTTCTCAGCAGGAGCTGATCTGTGTGCCCATTTTGTTTTGATGGTGTCTGTACTGTTTGAGGGCATTGTCACAGGTTCAAGCATGCTCCCTGCTGAGGTTCCTGAATCTCTAGAGCTCCTGTAGAATGTGCTTTCCAGCAGCTGAATGTTTGCAAACGCTTTTGCTTCCCACTCACAGATAAGGGGCTGCACGTGGAGGTGCGTGTGAACAAGGAATGGTTCACAGGCCGTGTCACAGCTGTGGAAAGGGTCAGACACGCAATCCGGTGGAAGGTGAAGTTCGATTATGTCCCTACAGACACCACACCAAGGGATCGCTGGTAACTATCTCAAGTTACTGGATTTTGGAGGCTTGGTTTTTTTGGGGGAGGAAGGGCCTATTTTATTGCTATAGATGCTGAAGACAAATATGCTGCTGTCATGTCAGAAAACATGTGAGGTCAGGACTGTCCAGGGCTTCATAAGGAAAGGGCATGACAGATTCCATCAGTCTGTCACTGCTGCCTGCCCTGGAGGCAGCTGTTGTGTATCTAGAGGTCTATGTGACTCTTGGCTACAGGTTCTGATGAAACCGTGTTTCAGGTATGTCCAATGTAGAAAAAGATTCCTGACATTCCCCTTTAATACTTTTTCTCAGGGTAGAGAAGGGCAGTGAGGATGTAAGGCTTATGAAACCTCCCTCTCCTGAGTACCAGGCTCCAGACACACAGCAGGAAGAGGAGGTGGTCGTGGCTGAACCTTCTACCTCAGATTGCGTCAGAATCGAGCCTGACACCACTGGTTCCAGCAGCAGCCAAGAAACAGTTGACTTGCTTGTCCAGATCCTTCGGTGGGTTCACCACAGACCTTGTAAGCTCTGCGGTCTGATTGCTTCAGTCTGGTAAACTCTCAACTCTGGCTTTGTGTTTTGTTTTCCTGCACAGGAATTGTTTGCGATACTTCTTGCCTCCAAATTTTCCAATCTCCAAGAATGAGCTGAGTTCCATGAGCTCAGAAGGGTTGTTGGCATTTCCCTTGGTGAGTTCAGTACTTCTAGAAAAGTAAGCTTGTGTGTTTTCCCCACACATACTCCATTCTTATGGCAAATGTGCATCTTGCTGATGCAAGAGTGCACTCTTGAAAAGATAATTTCGATCCTTGGCAGACTAACATAGCTGAGGAAAAGAATGAGAGCTCTGAGAGATGCCTTGAGTCTTGTAACAGTTGTCTGAGGATTTTTCTAATTAGTGTGCATCTGTGTGGGAATGCTGTTGGCTGCTACTATCTTAAATTCTTAACCATTGCTGTTAGACTTCTAAAAAAGAGAGACCAGGTTAGAAGTTTGTAGAAGGAGGAGGTAGGTCTATCTCTTGTTTTGCTCTTGTTTTGCTTATAACTTATCTGGAGACAATCTTAAAAATTATAAATAATAACAAATAATTACCCCCAGATTCACACAATATTCTGAGTTGGAAGGAAGCCACAAAGATCATTGAGTACAACTCTTTGAGTCTAACTCACAACGTTAGTGTGGATTCTCAATCCCTTTATAGGCCATTTACTTTAGTATGAGAGAATATGGAAGCCAGCCCCTTCCCACTTTCCCAGGAGAGCAGGTTTACTGCCAGCGAGTCAGCTGCACACCTTAAGACTTTTGACCTCTGTTTATTTGAGCACAGGACAGGTGGGACTGAGCTTCCACCAGCAGCCTGGTACTGGGAGGACCAGTGCTGACTGGAATGCAGGGCAAGAGAACTGGCCTCTCTGACTTTTTCCTTTTCCAATATACCACCAAGAGAGACCTTTCCAAGGAGGCACATGCCTGCAGATGACTACATGACCAAAGCCAGTTAGTTCTGTTTTGTAGTCCCACACTTGCAGTGTGTGCATTGGCAGTCTCTCTCTTGTCTCCTCCCCTTCTATTAACTCAGACATCTGCTGGCATTTGCTGTAGTTACCACTTCTGCTTCTTCCACACGGCACCTTGGTTGTGTCTGGGGTTTTTGGTGCTGTCCTTACCTTGCAGTGAGAGGTTGTGTTGTCTGGGTGATCTGTACCACCAATACTCACAGTGTACAGGGGATGTCAGGCCTTGCCTGCAGCACGCCTATGGGTTCAGGCTTTTTAAAAATTAATCTAAATTCAAGCAGCTTTGGGGGCAGTTCTGGTATTGGAAGAATGTGAAAAACTATGTGAATTTCTTGCTGGCTGGTATAGACAAATCAGATGTAAATATTAGTGTGGGCAGGGCGTACAGGGGCAGGATTTGATCACGGGGGCCAGGAGTTTGGATCTTCTACAGCCTATGAGTGCTCATGTTTTTGTGATGCTTGATGCTATCTCTTAATGTGACATCTGTTGGATTTTGTCTACTACAGAAAGAATATTTTAAGCAGTATGAGGTGGGTCTACAGAACCTGTGTAATTCATATCAGACACGTGCCGATGCCCGGGCCAAAGCCTGCGAGGAAAACCTGCAGAACTCAGAGAGGAAGCTGAGGGAAACGGAGGAGAAACTGCAGAAGCTGAGGACTAATATCATGGCCCTTTTGCAGAAGGTTCAGGAGGTGGGTGGACTAGCAAACCCTGAGCTGCCTCAGCGTAGCTATCTGGCTCTTCCCCTACGGGCATTGTAAGTGTTTCAGTCCAGAGTCTCATTGGGTTCCAGCTTCCTCAGCTGGGAACAGGTTGGGCTGTCACTGCCCACCCTTGGGATCCAGGCCCTAGGAGTCCTGATGTGTGTTAATTCTCACAAAGTGATTCCTAATGGTGTGTATGTAATGTACAGCTTCTGTTTGTTCTCTGTGTGAGGCTGCTTGAGAATTTCCTCAGGCATAGGCAGTGCTCAACAGGGAATTTTCGCCCTGTTCTTGCACAGATTCTTAACTCCACATCTAGAAGTGCAAAACTTTAAACACACAATATAAAAAAGTCTTGTAGTAAAATTGATATATTGATATATATATACAATTAAATTAAAATAGAAGATATATAATTAAAACGTTTAAATAAATAAACTTACTTTAAATTAAAAAACTTCTTTAATAAAATCAGGATCAACCTGGAAAGGCTACTGAAAGCATCTGGAAGCAGTTGCTCCCTATTAGAAAACCTTGTTAAATCTAAAATAACCCCAACCAAACCTGCCTCGACTGAAATCAGTACAGAAAATCCATCACTTGAGGGCATTGTTTGAGCATCAGGTGCTGATGGGTTTCCATGGTTTTCTTTCAGATGCTGACAGGGAAATCTAGGGGTGCTGTCACTGCAGCTGTCAGCAGCTGGAGAGTGGTGGAGGTTGGGGCATAGAGACTGAGCAGGCCAGATGTAACAGAGGATTCTAAGCTGCTCTGGCTCCTCTTTCCTTGCACTGTTCTTCAGGATTCACTTCTCACTGGTATTCCTTGTTGCTTTGATTTCAGGACATTGATATTAATACAGATGATGAACTGGATGCATATATTGAGGATTTGATCATGAAAGGAGACTGAGCAGCTCCAGTACAAGTCCTGGAGAGATGCAGAAGGGCTGGCTGCTGCAAAGGGTGATGTGGGTCTCTGTGTGGGTGGACTGGGGCAGCTGATGAGGAGAGAGTTTTTTAGACAGTGCTCATGTTGGTGTACAACTTGTTGCTGTGACTGTACACAAGAAACATTCGTGCTGTTGGCAGGAAATTTTTAAACTTTGTAGTTCTCTGAATCTCTTCCTTTTGTTGATAAATATTTATTTTTAAAAGAAATGGGAACTGTGCCTGATATGGTGGGTGTTTTTAGTGATGTAGTAGTGTGAGTACCCCTTTTGCAACTTGAATATATTCATATGCTAAACCTGGGAGCTTGGAGCACCCTGCTTAGCTTATTGGCTCTCCAGTAAGAACTTGGCAGCAATTAAAAAATAAGCCTTGAGTTGTAGCAGAGGGGTTTAGGATTTTTTTGAACTTGGGCTAGAGAAAGCCAAGCCATGAATTGGAACTATAGAAAGGAGATGTCCATGTATGAATGTGAGCAGAGGGGATGGAACCTTGGTGGAACTCAGAAATTTGGCACTGGCACCTGCAGTGAGCTTCCTGAACAGGAGGTCGCTGCAAGTAGGTGTAACTGCCACCATGGTAACAGCTAAGAGGTTGAGGGTCCTTCTAGAAAAGGATCACCTCCTGGACCGCTCACAGTGGGCTGTGAGCATCAGAGGAAGAATGCTGGAGTTTGGGTTCTCTGCTTGCAGTCACTTTATCACTCACTTCTGCTGCTGCTTCTTTGAGACATAATTACAGCTTCAGAAGAACTCCTCGACCACCTGACAATAAAGTGACCCCTGTTTTATTGTCATCCCCTCAGATTTGTGTTGCTTTGATCAATTTGCTCTACCAGGTAATTTTATTATTAGAGATTTCTAATTATTAGAGAGAGGCTGTTTGGAGCCTTCAGAGCTCTACACTGCTGATTGGCATCTGGCCCTATGCCTGCAGCAAGGAAAACACCTGTCCCTTATCCTTCAGCTGCAGCCAACTCCTGGTAGGCCCCTTGTGGCCAAGAGGACTTGGTCAGGGTTTGGCAGCTGGCCAGCAGGCCTGCTAGGACAAAGTGTCTGTGGACTCATGCTCAGAAACTGGAGTCCCTTGCAGGCCAGATGGTTGGAGAAACATGGTGTGAGCAAGAGGTACCTACTATCAGGGAGATCAGGTGGAATGGACCCTTGGGGTTGACACCTGGATGTGTAATATATGTTTTGCAGAAAACCCTTCCACATTAAATATCTGTTGCACAGAAAATCTTTGGCACTAATTGTTTATAGTCCTGAAGAACTCCCAAGTTTTTATGTGTGGTTACTGTGCTAGAAAAAAAGAGAGAGAAAGAAAGGACAGCAACACATCTATGCACCACAGAAGGGGGGGAAGGCTTTTGCTTATTACCTGAATTCCAGGTGCTTGTCACAGCACACAGTGAGACTGACTGCTTCCATCCAGAATCTGGGCCTGACATGCCACAATAAGTGAAGGTAAGGAGTATTCCCCCATCCTCATACACCTTCCTGCACAGAGGGGCAGCGTTCCTTAAACAAAGGAGCAGGCTCCACCAGTCTCCATTTCCTCACACATACTGGAGGTTTGTTAGTTGTGATGATACACTGCAGTTTCTGATGAGAATAATCTGGAGAAGATGCATTTTTTATTAAGGTGAAAGATGAAGTTTTCATCCTTCCCAGAAGCCAGCAGACATTGTAGAGAAGGAGATGTTGTAATATTGCAATTCAGAGCTGCTACTGTACACACAGGCTATAATTTCTGACACCCAGAGGGCACCAGTATGGGGCTAAGAGCTCTTGCACAGTTCTTGAGCTTCCTGGCACAGTTTGATTTCCTACTTCTCTCATGTTAGGAAAGTGCAATTGTTTTGAGATTTGGGTTTTTTTCCCTTTGTTCTGTGGAATTTCTCAGTTCCAGTTTTTGTGGGCCTTGTGACACACACACAAAAGAGGGAGACAGACACGCACCTCACACCACGTTGGATGAACAGGAAAAGAGAACTTTATTTACATGACATGCCTATTTATAGACATCTAACAATGAGCACGGATTGGACAGTGATGATAAGACCTCCTGATTCCACTGGCCTCACCACCTGTCCTTCAATGCTCGCTTCCTCCAAAGAGGAATGCAAAACAACCCTCTGTTTATCAGAAGAAAGTGTGAGAACTGTTGGAGAAATGTGTAAATATCAGAACATCAGAAGGCAAGGAAATCCAGAGGCAACAAGTTTTAACTCCAGTTTTTTAATGCATTTAATTTTTTTGATCTTCTAACAAGATTTTTTTGCTAGGAAGAGCATGCCAAGAACTTTTAAGCGCCAATCAAGTTTTTAATTCTCAGACCTTTTCAGGCAATACTCTACGGCTGCTTTTTTCTTTTTCTTGGTTTTGTTTCTGTAAATTTGTTAAGCAAATCTGTGTATAACATCAGGTTTCAGTAACACCTCTAAAACCCACAGGCTCAGAAAGCCTCCAGAAGGGATCCAAACTGCTTGCTCCAAATGGGGTATACTCCAAAGCCATATCAGATGGTTCAGGACATTTTCCTGTTGAGCTCTTAAAATCAGGGACGGAGATTGCCTCACAGCTGTGCACCACACACCTCTCCCATGGGTGTTCTTCCCTGCTATCACCCAGGGATGACCCTGTCATATCTTGAAAGTTGTTCCAGCTGCCATCAAGAATTTGTCCCCTGCCTGTAGCCCTCTCATGACACTTCCATCCTGCAGTTAAGCCTCTTGATGCCTCAGGTAGTCCGTTAAGTCTTCCTCTTCCCTTTCAGTGGTTTCTTAGCAGAAATGCTAAGAAGGACATGAGTTTCATTTTGCCTAACATTTCCCTCCCCCTCTCTATGGCCAGCTTAATCCCTTCTTTATGTGTTCCATTTTTTAAATTCCTCCCAGAGCTATAATCTGGGTGCTTCATGCCAGCTCATTTCTGCTGGTGAGGCTGCATTTTTCCTTCAAGCTCTCTGCCACATTCCCTTTGCATCAGCTTCTGAGAGCAGCAGGAACAGCAGATGACTGACGTTCTTGCCTGTGGGAAAGTAAAGACTGTGGCAGCAAGGGTCACTCTGGGAGAAACCAAGTGTGTCTGGGAAATTAGTTGATTATTGATAATTGCTGTGGACTAAAATGCTGTGGAAATGGAGAGGATGTCCTGCATGCACAGCTCTGCAGAGGTGTAAAGTAACACGGATCTGGTTTGGATGGAGAATGCTGAGGGGTGTGTGCATGCAGTTTTGGAGGTGTTCATAGTCTCTAAAGGTTCCTCGGTGCTCAGAGTTGCTTCTTAGCAAGGAAATGAGGACTGTGTGGTTCCTGTCCTTTTAGAGCACTTCTTGACACACTTTTTGTCAAACAGAGCTCTTATATTGTCTTCGTTTGAAAGACAGGTGTCTGCCAAGGAAAGCAGGAACATCCCTTGGAATGGAGACTATCACTTGCTTCCCTCTGAGTTATTATAACTTTGAAATTAAATGGCTTTTAGGCAAAGATATTGGGAAAGGAATAGCAGTCCTTTACTAGTGTGTATAACAAGGCCAACAAACAACAACCACAGCATTCCCAACAAACAGCCCCACAGACCCAGTCCGGCGCTGTGGGCAGGGCGGGTGCGATGGTTCCTCCTGCAGGGGGCGCTGTGGGCAGGGCGGGTGCGATGGTTCCTCCTGCAGGGGGCGCTGTGGGCAGGGCGGGTGCGATGGTTCCTCCACTCCTGCAGGGGGCGCTGTGGGCAGGGAGGGTGCCATGGTTCCTCCACTCCTGCAGGGGGCGCTGTGGGCGGGGCGGGTGTGATGGTTTCTCCTGCAGGGGGCGCTGTGAGCAGGAGTCAGTCGCCTCTCTCATGTCGTAATGGCGGCACACCGGTGGAAGGAATGCTCCACAAACCGAGTTTGCTCCACAGACCTCCAGGAACAGCCGATCCCGGTGCCCCAGCAGGAACCTCGGATGTGGCAAGCTGAAACGGCAGGAACGAACTCACCTGGGATAGCTAGCAAGAGGCAGCAGAAACTCGACAGCTGTAGCAGGAGCTGCACGGTGTCCCAGCAGGTGGGGAGAGAAGAGTTACAGTCTTGCAAAAAAATCCCGGAGCAGTAGCGGAGGCATGGCGGGGGCTGGGCAGCTGCAGCCCAGCTCCCGAACAGGGCTGGGAGCAGCTCCCTTGGAGGGGGAAGGGGCTCAGGGATCCCTGGGCTCTTCTCCTGAGGCACCCGAGCAGATGGTGAAAGTCCCTTGTTTTAGTGAGGAACGGTGCTAATAAGGTCCCAATGCAACAGCCGCTCTTAGGAGCAGAGCTCCACTCACCATAGAAGGCATCAGGAGACAGAACCCACAGTGGTGGCGAATTCTTCCTACACCAACCGCAGTCTCCTTCCCCTCTGAAAGCTGAGGAAGCAAAAGAGCTGCAAAAGAGCTGCGCCGAGCCCTGTTTTCGCCAGCCCAATTATCTCAGTATCTCTGCCTCTCAGAGAGAAGCCCTCAGGTAAGAGAAGTGCAGCCAGGTACCGTCCTCCTCTGAGCTTGGCAACTTCTTTTGTCTCTCTGAAGTACCGATCATTATACTTTATTGGGAACAGATGGGATGAAATTCCATGAGAGAAAGAAACAAAAGGAAAAGATACTAAACCCAAACACTCCCCCATTAAAGCCACAAGCAACTGTCACCACACACAGCAGTTCCTGTGGGTACCTGTCTCTGGAGACAAATTCTAGGAGAAAAACGCTCTAAAATGAGTGTTTTTCTTTAAAGAGAGAGGGCTTCAATAACTCCCCTTTCTTCTGCCAATGAGAGAAACGGATACCAGGGGATGAAAGTGAGAAAAAAAAATTAACAAAAGACAAAGAAATAAGAAGAGTGCCCACAAGGCGCAGGAAAAAAAAGGAAAAGAAAAAAAAATTTAACCTTACACCACACCCTCACCTCACCGTGTCGCCGAGAGGCAAAGATGGCAACCGCCCTTCTTTGTCTGTGGGGACGGGAGGAGAAAAGCCTTTACAGCAGCTAGGAACCTGGTGGATATCTGGTGTGAGTCTTCTCCTTGCAGCAGCCGAAGTTGGTGGATTTAAATGTCCTTTCTCGTGCCGGTTCAGCTCCTTGGGTCTCGGATTCGGGGCGGTCCCACGCCGGCTCCCCAGACGGCCGAAGAAAGAAGAAAACTAAAAAAACCAAAAAAATAAACAAACACAACAAAACAACAAAACAAAAAACCAACAACAACAAAAAGCCAAGCCGAAACAGTTCAAGTAAAAAGAAACAAATCGCCGAGAGGATTCTGGTACAGCCTCCAACCTGGGGAAAGAGAAGAGAAATAAACTTTTTGCTTCACGCGGAAAAAATCCAACAGAGGGAACAATGTAGCATCCTGGTCCACACTGCCCAGAGCACGCAGAGAGCTAGAGCTTGAGCAGAGCCTGCACAGGAGCCCAAGGCTCCTCACACCCCAGGTCCATCTTAAAGCTGCAGTGCTCATAAAGCACTGGGCATAAAGCAGCTGATTAGGGAATAAAGCATCATCATAAAATCACTCCAAGACAGTACTAAATTCCCCAAAAGACATGTTGGAGGAAGGCGCAATGAGTGGGGTTGCCTTGTGTACTAGTCACTTGCCTTTTCTTGACTTTCCTCAGAGCACTCCTTACCAGGTGATTCCTTGTAGAAACACATGGTGCCTAATCAGACTAGTGATCAGATGCAAAGCTCTGGGTGGAAAGTAAGTTGGCCAGAGTTAGAGAAAAGCAGCTTCTTGCACATGAGCAAAAGGAAACAAATCTTTTCCAGAGCTGTGTGTGGAGAGGTGAAAGGAGAATGGCAGCACTAAGGCTGCCTCTGCAGTGTTCTTGGGTTATAGGTGAGAGCTGGGTTTTCTGGACGCAGAAGAGTGCAGAAGAATACTTTATGAAAACCCTTTCTTCAGCCACAAAAGCTTTTCTTGTCCTTCAGCATCTGATTTCTTTGCAGGCCTTAGTGAGGGAGTAACTCATCCACAAAGGGTCCTATTTTCCCTTTGTGTGGGAAGCTTTGTGTGGCCTGGCATCAACAAGCCAGTGTCGGTGTGGGGGGAGCTCTACAACTTGAACAACACCTACTTCATAGGCTTTGTCCTGCAGCATTTGACATACACTGACACTGGCCGGTGCTACTTGCTCTCCTAGGAGCAGAGCTGGTCCCATGAGTCCTTGCTCAGTCAGCTCTGAGGGATGGAAAAAAAATGATGACTCTAGGAAAATAACCCTCAATTTT